TATCTTTGCTTAGTCCTGATTAAGCCCTGAAACTTGGGCCGAAGTGTCGGCACAAAGGAAATAGAAATAAATACAATTTATTTATTATTACTTTGTTCTTTCGTAGACCAGAAAATCCTAAACAATTTCTTTTCAATATCTTTTGCAGTCAATACTATCATTAAGAAAAGATCCACATAACTTTTATGTAATTGACTTTTGAGTTTATTACAAAAGTAACTCTTATTTATTAATTAATTAAAAAAATTTTGTTAAATGAGAAAAATTATTGGGTTCAATTTTTTATACCTCTCGAATGAACTGTCTTAGATTTTCTTTATTTAAGTATCTAAGAAGATCTTGTATGACTACTATTTATTTATAATTTGATTTTTAGTTAAATGAAATGCTTCAACAGGATTTTTAAATCAAAGTTGTTTTTTTTTTAATAAAAGATCTATAAGAACTATTATTAAAAATTTGCATGAAAAACAGTTCAAATTTAAAAAGGATAGAAAAAAAATTAAATACAGTTTTTTCAAAGAATCAGTCAGTATTTAAACAATCTTTAGAACTAAATTATTCAAATAAAAAGGTTACTAATATACAAAAAAGGAAGTTATTTTTATCAAAAAAAATCTTGATCTACGAACTAGTGGGAGTCAAGTGGCTAATATTCCAATTAAGATTAATAGGATAACAAAATATCTTAACATATTAAAATAATGAGAAGTCAAAAAAAAAAAAGTATTATATACCTCAAGTTTTTAAATATCAGTTAATTTTTTTTTAATTTATGAAGATATGAAATTAAATTAAAAAAATAGCAATAACTTAGTTTGTGAAAACTGTTAAAACCTGAACTATGATTGCACACCTAAATTAAATCATATAATAAATAATAATAAAAGGCTTAGCGAACCCTCTACCAGCCCCCGTCCAAACCCAAGCCCACCAGATCAAACTTAATGCAATCTTCCCACCTTCACTTCAGTCTCTCCATCAGACATTTACTAGTTGGCACAGCAGATATTAACCTTTTAGGAATTCTTTACTAAGCCTAACAACTTTACATACCCATTTTATTCACAGCAATTATATTAACTGGATACACTTCACGCAATTCAGCATTGTGAAACTGTATAAATTCTCCAGTTGACTCATCCTTCTTCGGTCCGAATATTCTATGCAATCCATAGAAACTTAAACATGAATCTACAGAAATTTCAATAAATCAAATAACCAACAGATACATTTTTGTATAGTATTTTAATTTTGACTTGACCAACAGTCAATATTCATATTTTTTTTATTTATAACCTTCATGGGCAATGTCTTGGTCTTGATGAGTTAAAAATAATATTTTAAAATAAAGTATTGTAAAACATTATGAGGCTGCAGTAGCAGTCAATGAATCAATCTGGCATACATGAACTAGAAGTGGATATGAACCTCATTCCTGCATACGAGTAGACCCTTGAAATAAATTTTAATCTATTATTCATCCAGAATATAATTGGATCTTCGTAGAAAAATCTTAAGTAATTTGCGTTGAATAACTTTATATTTACTATCCGAACTCCATCTTCAGCTGGCCACTGAAGATCACTCCAATCCAATCCCTTTAAGTCTAATAGAACAAGAAAGCCTGAGCATGAAGTCATGTGTGTATTTTTTTGATTGATGTCTAGTGCCAGGGTCTACAAACTTTTTGACCTGCAGAACACATTGAGACCTCCACCCAAGTACTGCAGACCACGGCTTGTGATAAAAAAAAAATAAATCTTGCCTTATAAATGACACTTCAGTGGTGAAATGAACTTTCTAAGAGAAAAAAAAAAACATGCAATAAATTTTGTAGTAATCTTGTGTGTGAGTAATTTGCTAAATTTTACCATGTGATCAAAGAAACTTCCGTGGGCCCGATAGAAGGTAGAAGGAAGGCCGTAGTTTGGAGACCCCTGGTTCAGTGGATAGAACTTCATCAGCCCTATACCCTATCTAACTATGGTAAAATCCAATTAATCCTAACCACCATGAGTGAGAAAATTTATGGGATGAATCGATGGATGGCACAGTTTTTAGACTGTAATAATTACAAAAGTATTGACTTCCAATGACTTAAATTAAACTATGGGAAATAAATAGCCAGGATGCAGTCATTCTAAAGTTACTTATAAAAAACTTTAAAATGACAGCATCCTGACTATTTATCACTCTGGATATGTATAATAGTCGACTAACTTCCTTCAATAATTCATTAAATTAAACTATATTAAATAACTATGTTAAAAAGATAAATATTAATTAAAGGGAAGTATGCTTTTTTAATAAATTGATAATTTTTAATACACGTATGCTTAAAATTTAATCTATTTTTCAAAAATATTATAAGAATACATTAAGAGTTATATTAATACGTAATATATATTGAAATGTCTTTAGGGCAATGGTGGTGTCAGCATTGAACCTTCGGGTTTACCAAGAAATGTAAATATTCAAAAATATATGTATAATAATTTTTCATTTTTTTTAGACATGAAAAATTATTAGGTGATAATAAAATTTAAAAAAAAATTCATTTATGTTAACAATGTAATTCAACCCATCTGAGTATTATATATTGAAATATCTATAGAGCACAGGCGGTTCTATGGGAGAGGAGAGGGGTCTGTTGGGTTGAAGCCCCCCCAAAATGGTAAAATATAATGTTTTATGAAAAAAATGATCTTTAAAAGTATTATTGTTCGTCTAATTACATTTAATAGGACTTAAAGAATCACTTAAACACCATTTCATATAGGCAGTTTCTTTCTTTCACTTCAAAGTAATTATCCTAATATATGCATACAAAAAAAATATACTTCGGGCTGAAGCCCCCAAATTAAATCATAAATCCGTTAGTGCTATAGACTATAAAGATTGGTTGTGTCAGCATTGAACCTTCGGGTTTGCCAAGCTTTTTATTATTATAGATTGCAAATATTCTAAAATATATGTTTACTAATTGCTTTCATTTTTTAGACATGAAAAAAATTATTAGGTGATAAAAAAATTAAAAAAAGTTCATTAATGTTAATAATGTAATTCAACTCATCTGAATGTTAAAATAATTTTCATTATATTTATTATTAATGTCTGGTACAATAGTAAATAATTATGAATTGAATAGTTTCGAAAATGGTCTCTAGGAGAGTGAATCATTACTTGTCAGTAAAACATGGAACGATGTGGAGTTATCCATTTACCGCTTTTATTATGAATAGGGTTCAAGATTTTAAAAAAAATAGCTTATACTAAAATCTAAATAAACTGAAAATTCCATTTTAGAAAATTATTCATGCTTTTCTTTGCATTTTAGTTAATAAGCCCCAATTCCAAGCAACTTATAGTTGATTTTTTTAGAAAAATGATAAAATTACTTTTCATATACTATCTATAATATATATACAACATCAAATCATATTGTTAAATTCACTCTATCATGCATCATATAAAACATGCTATCATATTTTTAGTATCTACTACTAAATCGGTACAGTAGAACCCCCTTACTAACCAGCAGTAAATTTTTTTTTTTACTCGGTTAACTAATTTCAGTTCAGCATTTATGCCATCATTAGAACTAAATTATTCAAACTAATAGGTGTTTAATAAAATAAACAGTTACTTTTATTTCAACAAATCTTAACTCATGAACAAGGAGATAACAGGATAACAAACCAGAGAGGATTAACATTTTTAAGAATTTAAATTTTATTGATACGCATAATTATCGTGAAAATAAACTAATGGAGATGCACTCACCTTTCCCTCAAATTATCTTAAATTAATAATAACAGAAGAGCAGTTAAAATCAGTAAATTGTAAAAAAAAAAAAAGTTGTTTGGTTCTTTCTCTCCCTTCCCCGGCTTTTTCATACTGGAAATAATTATTGTGGATTGACGGTTGACTGTAGTGAATAATTGAAGAGCAGAATAGTTGAGGTGATCAATAAAAAAAAAAAGTTAAAATAAATAAATATATATATAAATATAAAAAAAAATTGATATTTATAAATATACTTATTTATTTTAACATTTTTTTTTTTATCACCATTCTTCTTTTCAAAAATAATTATTCTTATTATTTATTTAGCCTCAACATATTTTTAATCAAAATTTGATGCTTCTGTGATAATTAAAGCATTTATAATAAATTATATCCTTTCCTTTTTTTTTTATCTAAACATTATTTCTTTAACAATTTATATTTCATTTGAAACAATATAAAGTATGCAGAAGTATGCAATAATGTGATCACTTTATGAAAACCACTGGTCTGAGTAATAAAATAAATTTAGAACTCAGACGATAAATAACTTTTTTTTCTCAATTTAAATTGTAGTATAATGAAATTAGTCGAAGAAACTTCATCAATAAAACAACTCTATATGTCATATTGCTTATTCTTGAAAATAACATTAGAACACCTGTAATGAGAAATATGCTTATATACTTTATAAGTGACATAATGTGATAATTATAGGAATCATGACCTATAGAGGCATTGATATGAAGGTAGTAGTCATGAAAAGATTATTTCACAGATGCAAAAAAATCATTTTGACAATATTTTTTTTTTTAACTTTAATCTTTTTGATTATTATTTTGCTTCTGTTTATATTACATTTTGTCTATACATAGTGTGGATGTAGCCTTACCTCACTATAATTATTGTCAAAATAACAGAATACTATATTATTAAATAAATAAAAAAAAAAAAAAAAAAAAGCCGTTCATAGAAACTAAACCACTCTGTTTTGAATTACTCCTCCTATGCCATTGGTATGACTAATTACTACCTTTTTCATGTCAGCGCCTCAATTATTCACTTATTTAATTTAAAACCTTTAATTCTAAATTAAATTTATTTTTAAAATTAAGAACTCGATTTAATTAGTAGTAACTCAAAACAAAATAATTTTATAAGTTATTGTTAAGTAATACTGTCAGTACAATCAATCCCTTTTTTTGTTGCAGGTACGGAAAGCAGCCAAACTGGCTCAGCAGCTCACGTCATACGACTTGACTTAAATTATCTAATTTACTTCAGTGCCAATTTATTACTTAATATTCTAATATTGCAACTGTAGATTGTCAACGACCAATTAAATTTCAACACTGTGATCGAACATATTATAATTCATTAAAATGAAAACTTGAGCAGCTTCAGAGTTATATCCGACAGACTGAAATTCTAAACAGTATTAACATATAAGATAAAAACGGCAACATAAAATTGATTTTGTTTAGGTTCCTGGCAAATGAACTGAAAACTGTTACAATTCTAGCTAGTGTAATTTATATGTATTTCAGAGAAAATTTATTTTTGTGTTATGTAAAAAAAAAATAATGTATCTGAAAATGCTTTTACACTTACAATAATATAAAAATATGAAAAAAAAAATTGTAAATGATAATTGTTAATCATTTGTAAATGTATTAGATATATCTATTAAACAATAATTTCATGTTCATATTTTTGTTTATTATACCCCAAAATGTATGAACTGTACTTACACACTTAACAGGTAACTCTTATAAAATTTAATTTATGATCACTACTATACTAATGTTACTTAATACCACTCTTATAATTTAAGTTGATTACTGCGTAAAAGGGGCAGCGGTGGTGTCTGCAAAAAAGTTTATGCTTCAAGTTTAAATCCCGTTCACAGGATTTAAGAACAAAAAAAATATAAATAATTAATAATAAATAAAAATAAATAAGTGCAGGTTCAATTCCTGCATGGGAACGGTAACATCACTGCCCTGAGTTTCACAGGAAGGTGAGTGACCCCTGTGTCTAACAACATAGCTTCTTGGTCCACCAGATTGGGGGTTAGGCACAGGGCTGATAACCATATCCCATAAAAAAAAAAAAAAAATGTAAAAAACAGGACAGAGATGTCTACTAAAGATTGGCAACTGTCCTGATGAAGAGAAAGTGACTTGTGCTCGCTGGACATCTATATAAGAGAACCAAACAATCACAGCTATCGCCTGGAACAGCCTCAATGCTGCTAGAAGACTAATAAGTCTGTTAGAAGGCAGAAGTCAAATAAGTCGAGGCATTTGAAAAAAAAAAAAGAGTAAAAATGATATAATTTAATTGATAAAAATTACAAATCTAAAATGGATAATAATGAAGAAATTGGTTTCCCTCCCAGCATGAAAAGAAAAAAAATGTTTTATATCAGAAACCTATACAATTCTTTTTATAGTTTTATTTATGTACTCCGTGTATCAAAAAAAATGATTACATACGAATTAATTAATTTTTGATCATACAAGAAATTATTACCACTGCATAAAGAACATAATATATTTTCCTTTGATTGATACAAATGACTAGGTTATTATTCCATTTTAGAATTAAACCATTTACGTAATTACTATAAACAAAAATTTTGTATTCATTATTATTCAATATCACTCTACTCCTAATTCGCGACTTTACCTACCTCTTATTTATACAATTGATTTTCCTTTCTGTAAATAAAGATAATTTATCATCAAAATGTAAGAAAACAAACTTCCCTAGTATAATATAAATAATTGATATATACAATGCAATCTATAAGTAACACTATAATTAATTATTTTATACTCACACTTAAGTGTATGCCTTTAAGTTGGTTTAATAATTAAAAATAGTTTTTTATAGTTATTTTATTTTTTATCTTATAGGGACTCTGCCCTTCTCTTCAGTAATATTTTATTCCCTACCCAGAAATTGGATAAGTAATAATAATATAATAAGGAAGGAGATGGTTCGTGGTGGCGGACATAAATAGATTAAATAGTAGCAAAACTATTTTATTAAAAGCCAACGTTTCGACCCGACTTTGCAGGTCTTCTTAAGGGAGGTGTGTTCAACAAGAAGTTTCACTTAGAACTGAGGGGAGTTCTAAGTGAAACTCCTTGCTGAACACATCTCCCTGAAGAAGACCTGCAAAGTCGGGTCGAAACGTTGCCTTTTAATAAAATAGTTTTGTCACTATTTAGTCTATTTATGGCCGCCACCACGGATCATCTCCTTCCTTAATAATACAACAGTCAACTGTTAAGTATTCAATAATAAAATAAGTTCGGTACAATGGCTGATGTCCACCTAAAAAAATCCATAAGAAACTTATTATATTATTGTGAATTAACCAATTTTTTTGGGGGGAATAAAATATTGCTGAAGAGGGAAAGACAGAAAACAGGAGGATTACACCACCAGCTAACCATTGCTACTTTGACCTTACCAAACATTTTAGAAGTAGAACGCTCTCTAATCAGACCAAGATCAAGCACTATAAGACCCTAGTCTGTCCAGTCGTGACTTAAGGCTTGGGCGTTCACAAGTCCAGGATTCTCATCTTCGAGAGGAGCATTCTTGGTTATGTTAGACAGGACGATGTCTGGAGAAGGAAGAATGTCGAACTAACAAGACTCTAAAAAGAAGTTGGCATAGTCAAGTTTGTTAAGCTTGGGGTGACTTCAATGTGCAGGACATGTGCGAAGGATGGCTGACAAGATTCCGAAAATGATACTTATCGAAGAGCTCTACGGGGAACGGCGAGTTGGAGGACTGAACGTGCGATAGATTGACTCGGTCTCTGTGGATGTGTGTGCTCTTCTTGAAGTCTAAAACAGGTGACCTGCAGTCAACAAGCAAATAAACTGGTGGAGACTTTGGGAAAAGGCCCAGTTTCAGTAACGGTATGTTGCGCCACTTATGTATGTATGTATGTATGGGATAGACAGAGATTCTCCGAAATATAAAATAAATAACTATCAAAAACTATTTTTGATTATTATAAAACTGACCTTAAAGCATACACTTAAATGTGAATAGAAATTGAAATAAAAAGTCAAAATTGAAAAGTTAAATATTATTAAATATAAAATTATTTAGTCTTGAATAAAAATGTAGTTCTTAAAAAATAATAAAATGATTAAGCACAAATAAAAAAATAGAAGTAAAGCCTTAAAAATTTGATTTTGCTCTCCTCTTTTTAAAATGGTGCAAGAAAAAGTTGGATTTAAAAAATTGTAGTTTACGTACATAAAAATTCTCTTACTATGGTACGCAAGTCTTTTTCCTTGCTTTTGAAAGTTCATCCACACTCAAATCTCACAAAAAAAAATAGTTCTCTGAAATTCACAAACACTTAAAAAATGTGCCACCCCATAAAATTTAACAGTGCACAACTAGGCAATTTTTTAGTTCCTTGCTTAAAGTGAACAGACATTCCGCTTTTGGCAGGACAATCCAACTTTAAAGCAATGTGTCCCTATGTCTTAATTAAGTAAGTGTGATGGTTACAAGTAGTAAATAATATTATTATGAGGAGTTGATCGGGGGGGGAGGGGGTGCGGTCAAATAAATACTAAATTAAACAAATAGTATTAATTAATTTTTGCTGATTATTTAATTTTTATCTGAGTTGGCAAAAATTAAATAATACTATTTGTTTAATTTAGTATTTATTTGACCCCCCTCCTTGATCAAGTCCTTCTCATATTATATCAATGGTCAACCATCTCTACATCATTAAATAATATTATTGTTTTATTAATTTACTACTACTCATTTTTCGCATGTATTTAATTATTAAAAAAAAATTTATAGCAATCATATTAAACTAATAATCGCTGAGTTGTTAATGCTTGGTGAATAATTGAATAACAGTTATTACCAAAAGAGTGATCTTTTATAACATGCAAGAATATAAGCGAATCATATTCCCCTACTCTCCCTTAAACCATAACTAAACATGCAGTTTTGAACTAATAGGCCTCATAAGGAAATTTAATTAGGATAAGTATTATATATATACAAAAGTAATTTCACAATGACGGCGAATAGGAAAATATAAAAATGCAAGGCTAAAAACATATTTCTGGGGTACATAACAGATTAAAACCAGTAAGAATTAATTTCAAATTAAGCAAATCATAATCAATTTTAATGCCAAAGAAGATGCTGCACGAGCAGCCAGATGGCAAAAGAAATAGAGAGTGCCCTCGGATCAGATGGCTGGAGGACGATCTGAGGCGGCTGGACGTTCGAAGATGGAGGGAAGTAGCAAAAGACCTTGAGTTGGTTGGCTGTAGTGGAGGAGGCCCGGGTTCTTGCAGGAGCATAGTGCCATTATAATAATAATAATCAATTTTAACAGTTGCGACTTTTTGATTAAAAAAAAAAAAAAAATGAACTTTTCAAATAGCTTAATATTTTGAAAGTTTAAACAGAATATGTATATATATATATATAGAGTGTCCCGTAAGTAGAGAAAAATATTTAGAAGGTTGATAGTAGACATCACCTACAAAAAAGTTCATATAAATAATTGCCCAACAGAAATTTTTGCTTAAAATAAAGAAACTACTGGATTGCTTTAATTATTTTCATGAAAATGTAAAAAATTTAGAGCTAAAAACATTTAAGTTTGTCACTGATAAATACAAATCAATTCCTATGATGGAGATCTGGTAGAAAAACACAATTTTCATAACCACTTTATGTGAAAAATATTTAAAAAGTTATTATCTTTATATTTATTTTAATACATCCCACATCACGGAAAAACAAGAAATAAAAGCTTTGCAACAGTTGATGTTGATTTAAGTCAATTTTGAAGAAAATATGGGTACTTTAAGGTTATTGGATAGTAAATCACATTATTTCTTTCTCAATATTTTTCTTCCTAATAAAAGCTCAACTTAATTAATATGGACTTAAAGCTTATTAAACGTGGAACTTTTTTCTAAAAGCAGGGTAGGTAACTGTAGTACAGTTGAAAGATGATTTAAAAAAATCACAAATAATTTGACTTTTTTTTTAAACGGAACTTAGCTGTGACTGTCCATTAAATAGTTTTAGCAATGACAAACTCTAATTACGTTTAAAGTAAATTTTGTCTAGTTTACTATGGAGCAATCTTTAATTACTTGAATCAAATATTTTTTATGTTATCGCTTTCTATTCAACAAAAAGCGTGACTTGCATAAAAAAAACATTTCTTACTGGAAATTGGGCCATTGTTCATATGAACTTCTGTGTAGATCTCGATGCCTATCAATCTTTCAAAAATTTCTCTCTACTTACGGGACACCCTGTATATTTATATATATATTTTTTTTCCTGTTGGCATTACAGTTGATGTAGATCTTTTGCAGCTCTGACCAGCCTGCTCCATCTCTACCTCTCTTGGGCTATTTCTTTCTATTTACTTGCACGCAGATCTGTTGATTCTATTTATAAATTTGCTTTTTGGCCTTCTGCCTTCTATTCAGGCATTCATTGTTACGTAGAGGATTCCAGATGGATTGCTCCAAGCTACACGCCCTGCCCATCTTAACCTCCATATAATGGGATATTGATAGCCAGTTTCTGTAAGCAGTTCTTTATTGGCCTTTCTTCTCCATGTGTTAGTATTCTGATCCCAGATCGCTCCGGTTATCGCAAGGAGGATTTTCCTCTCAAATCTTTCAAGACTTTTTTCTAAGGTAATGGGTTAGTGTCCAAGTCTCACAGCCACTTATTAGAACTGGCTTTACCATAGCATTGTACACCCTGAGTTTGAGATTTTTCATGATTTCAATTACCTGGGTACAATCTGGGTACCTGGGGGGAGGGGGAGGATTCAATGAGAGGGAGAAGAAAGCTCTGTTTGCGCTAGTTATATGCTGGTCTATTTCTGGCCGCTGATCATTCATTGAGGTTATTGTGGAGCCGAGTTATTTGAATTTTTCTACTCTCGGGAACGATTTTCCTTCTATGCAGCTTATCATCATATATATGATTCCTGGTCTCAAATATATATATTTCTATTTTTTTACTCTTTCTATGTCATGCTGAAAAAACCAAGATCCTCCATAAAATTATTAGTAAAGTGCCGAAATCGATAAAAGTACGGTAATATATGTGTCATCAAAGGTAGAAAAGTGCATAGATAAAAACAGAACTTCTTTTTTATTAATTTCAATTAAAATTTCCAACATTATATGAATAATAGGTATCAATACTTGACTAAACTACATGCCAAAATGCCAGCTAATATATGAAAACATGCTAATTTGTTTCAAGAGGAAATGAACTGGACAGAATACAATTAATAATAAAATAAATAAAAATATACACATTAAAAATGGAAATCAAAGTCTACTTAACATACTGAAGGGAAAAATAAAAACTAACTAAGTGTAAGAATGTTTATTGTACACATTGCACAGTATGATTTATTGAAAACAAAATTTAGATTCCTATCTTTTCAAAAATACAATGAATGAATAAAAATCAAATAAAAAAAAAAAATTGAATTAAAAGGAAAATAAAACAAATGCAACAATCATATTTCAAATAATGTTAAGTATTCATCTTAAAGGTATATTATCTAAATTAAGAAACCTAAATTTTATAAATGAATTAGAGATTCACTTAACTGTCTCAGTGAACCTAAAACTGTAATTTCACTTAGCCTATTTATACTCTTAACGTTTACATCTTCTTAGGATGTGGGGCGTTCAATTAATATTCACAGATGCAGAGATGCTGTTAATGTAAGTTTTAAGCTGAGGCTGAAACAAATTGTTTAGGAATGAAGTTGAATAATGGACGATAAATAAATAATATTAGTTAACAAAAACATTTTAACTTGGGTGAAACACAAACCGAGTCAGTCAATTTGATAAAAAAACTTTATTAATTCATAAACATTCACTTTCTCATCTAATCTGAAAAATAAGACAATCTATAGTTTCGTGTTTATTTATTATTTATAAAAAAAAACAAACAAGTATAATATTATCGGCTACTTTGTTCAAAAAAGCACAACAAATCATAATTTATTATTATTATTATTATTTATATAATTTAAGTATTCTAATTTAATTGTCGCTAGTATACATATTAAAAGTCTTTACAATGATCATCCAATGATAATACAGAAATTTCAAATGCGAGTTTTACAACAAACCTGATATGACAGACATAGCTTCAGAAGCAAAATACTTCACATCAACATCTTCATCAGCGTTCAGTTTTTCAAGCACAGGTTTCACTTGGGATTGGATACAGCTATAACAATAAATAATACATATTTAACTGCTTAATATAGCAAAATGGTATCATTAAGAACAGTCAAACGAAAAAATTATTTAAAATATTTTTTTTATTTCTTATTTTAATGAAATTTACTACTGTATTACATGAAAAACACAATAAGTAAATGTGACATTGGTAACATGACATGTACAACATGAAGAGAAACTACCCATTGGTATAACTCAAACTAAAGTTCTATATTAAACGGTCCCGAGGCCATCTTCTTTTCAGAGGCCTCGGAGGCTTATCAGAAATAGAAGAGGAAGCAAGAGGGTTCGGATGGTTCAGAAGTTTATTATGGAAGGATAGGTATCTGGATTGGACTAAATCGGAAACATATGGTACGTTAAGGTCTTTATGGATGATTTAATATGTGACAAAGTAAGGTGCATTGAGGATTTTGGATTGTAAGTATTGAATACGAGAGGAATTCGACGGTTTAGTAGAGCCCCAAAGCTCGATTCCGTAGGTCCAGATAAGTCTTATTATAGTCATATACATAAGTCTTTTGTAAGTAATTGGAAGTTTAGAGCGTCTGTCTAGTAAGTGCTGGAATTTAAAATATAAAATACTAGAAATATTTTATAAATATTTCTACACCTACTACTATAAATATCTTGGAATAATTTTTTAACAAAACTGGGTAAATAGAACAAGAAGTTTCCAACAGGATAAAGAAAGCGAACATTATATATTACTAGATTCGCACAATTGTGGGAAAGAGATAAGTAGGAAGAAATGTCAAACTCCACTTCTATAAAGCAGTCTATCTACATTATTATATGGCAGCAAAAGCTAGGTCAGAAAAGACAAGTACTTAAGCAGGATTACAGTTGCTGAAATGAAATTTTTATGAAGAATTTTGAGAAAAACCAGGAGAGACAGAGTAAGGAATGAAAGAATAAGAGAGGAACTCCTGATACCCTCACTGAAAGAAACTATGAAATCGCAGGAACATAGATGGTATGTTCCCATATGTAAATGAGAGAAAGCAGAGTACCAAGGAAACGCATTAAAGCGAATTTAACTGGCAGGAGACAACGAGGCAGGACTAGAAGAACATATCCAGCAACTAGATGAGGAAAGAGGGAAAACCCTAGGTCAGAAGAAGCAATTGGCGAGAGACAGGGATGTATGGTCGAAGTGGCTTGAGGCTCCTTCCCGCCGCTAAAAGGCACACAAAGAGGAAGAAGAAGCTAAAGAAATATTTTATATTTTAAATATTATCTGAGAAGGAATTAGTCGAGGGTGCGGTCAAATAAATAAAAAAATTAAAATATATAAATTATTTTAATTTTTGCCGACGTTTCGACCCACTTTGCAGGTCGTCTTCAGGGCTACAAAAGATACAAAACAAGTTGAAAATAAAAAATAAATATAAGTATATATAAAATACGAAGAAGTTGTCAGATACAGAAATAAAAGATGGTATCAAAGATATAGTGGGTGACAATGTAGTTAAATATTAAGAATTATGTATGTAGAAGATACAAATAAATGGAAAATAAGTAGGAATAAAAATAAAAATAAAGGAGAATATAACATGTAAGTAAAAAGTAAACAGATTGCGATAAAAGACAAGGAATAAGTGTATAACAAACTCATAGAGATTACATTAGATAACTGTGGGTTAACAGATAAAGAAAATAAATACATGAATGTATTTATTCGTTAACATTCATGTATTTATTTTCTTTATCTGTTAACGCAATCTGTTTACTTTTAACTTACATGCTATATTTTCCTTTATATTTATTTTTATTCCTACTTATTTTCCATTTATTTGTATCTTCTACATATATAATTCTTAATATTTAACTACATTGTCACCCACTATATCTTTGATACCATCTTTTATTTCTGTAACTGACAACTTCTTCGTATTTTATATATACTTATATTTATTTTCAACTTGTTTTGTATCTTTTGTAGCCCTAAAGACGACCTGCAAAGTGGGTCGAAACCTCGGCAAAAATTAAAATAATTTATATATTTTAATTTTTTTATTTATTTGACCGCACCCTCGACTAACTCCTTCTCATATTATATCAACTGTCAACCATCTCTACATCATTTTAAATATTATCCTCCTATAAGTACAAATCAATTCAATCTACTCATAAATGTTCTCAAATGACATACTTTAAATAAATTTTACCTGCTCATTATTTATAATAGTTAATATTCACTTCAGAGAAATATTTTAAACCTACTTACTACTTCAGTTTATTTTATACTGAAAATGCTATTCATTTAGTTCTCTGCAATTAACTGAAAGGATTATTTAAGATATAAACTACAAAAAAATTATAATAAATGTTTTAATCAGTAGCAATTTTAAAATTATTCGAGATAAAAATGTAATTTGCTTACCCTGGGTCAAGAACAGGTCCTATTTTCTGTAAGGTCTTCGCAACATTGAACCTAACGTTGGGAACAGAATCTGATGCCATCGTAATTACTGTAGGTAGCATTAGCTGAGCTGTTACTTCAGAACCACATACTTGGGCCAATACCTAAATTGAAGGAATAATGAATTAACCGCAATACACGATAGCGACTCTAGGTACAACAAAAGTAACAGTAAATCAATACTTACATTAATACTGAATAAACACGTCATTCTATGCAAATAATTTTGATCGTTTGACATGGCTAGAACTTTGGGTATGACTGTGTTTTGAGCCCATTCCGGTCCAAATTTTTCAACTAATTTCTTGAGATTTAATGTTGCAGCTTCTCTGATAGCATAAACTAAAAAAAAAAAAAAAAAAAAAAAAAAAAAATTGATAATAATCAATGTTTGAGTAATAATATTTTAAACATGAATATTAGGCCCTCTAACCCTCTTAAGTCAGTTAGACCAAACCTGCAGAGTATTACGATCAGAAAGTAATTTTAATTATTATAGCTCTCCAATTGTCAAAAAAACACAAACACTACTTTATTTTTTTTAAATTTATATTGCATTCTATTATTTTATTAAAATTGATATGTCTGTGTTCTTATAATTTTAGCATTAGATTGTTCTTTTAATTATTTTGATTTTTGGTAAGTCACAGGGTGATCTCACTGGAAAAGAATGTGAGTTGATGGAGTGATCAAAGAGAGAAAAAAGAGAAAAGAAAGAAAAAAAGTGTAAAAATGTATGTATGTTATGTCCAAAATGGACTGATAAGTACGCTATGTATATCCCAACTGTATACAGAGAAGCACTACTGTATATAGATTATTTATCTTTCTTGAAAGTTTAATCTTTAACATGCCATTGTTCCAGAAGTGGAACATATATTAAAAAAATTTGTTGACCAACTTAATCATTTTTTTTTTTCAAAAATAATTTTATCCATCAAAATAAAGGTCGAATAAAGATTTTATCACTTTTAGTTCGGTTAATAAAAGTTTCTGATTTTTTAGCATCAAGAGGTGTATTGATTATTTTTTGTTTTTGTTTTAATACTACAGCAATGAAATTTAATTTGAATATTGATTTAATTTATTACTGAAAAAAAAATGCCTTGTAGAAAATGTAAATAAAAAAAATTCTAAGAATTAGTTTTACTAATTTTAATATTAATGTTCCACATATGGAACAATGGCAGGTTCACGCTATAGAAATGTTTGTTCTATTCATTGTTTCCTACCTTCTTTTCTTAGTACAAAACTGCACATGGAAATTCATTGAAATAATACTTGCTATTTAAAGATTATCAATTTTGTGTATAATTCCTCACATAGAGAAGAACTGAGTTACTTTATTTTTAGTTTCTTAGAAAACATATTGGAAATACTTATGACAAACATCCTTTGGTGTTAATTTTCTCAGTCATTAATGTGTTCTTGTAGTGATTGCATCGCGTTTCTTACTCGAATTATTTTATTAGACAAATAAAAGCTTTAGTGTTTTTGAATTGACATAATAACATATTATCTTGTTCTAAATCTTGTAAATGTGGTAAATATTTGCTATGTTAAATGCATAGAAAAATTATTATCATGTTTTATATATCTATGGAAATATACTGATGATTGTAATTTTCTGTTAATAAAAACATATTACCTTCTTCGTTAAAACCTATTCAAGTAAATGGTTTATAATTAATAAGGTTTGAAAATAAAAGTTAAGAAAATAACTGTTTTGAAATGGCATGTATCAATAGAATAAAATTTCAATAAAACCTTGTATATATCTACAAATATAGGTAAAAATTAAATTTTTACAGGTGATAAATATTCAGGACAGACTTTTTTAAAAAAAAATTTTTTTATTTTTTATTAATGCCAAAGTTTCGACCCAAACATGTGGGTCATCTTCAGGACATGGTTTGAGCATTGAGGGTGCTCAAGTACTGGGTTGAAACGTTGGCATAAAAAAAAATAATAAAAATAAAAAAAGACAGCGTCCTGAATATTTATCACCCATGATATGTAGAACAGTCGACTAACTTCCTTCAATAATTCGTTAAATTTTAAGAGTTACTGTTTTATTCAACTCCTAATTTATTTATTAAGGTGACAAATAAATACCATATTTATTTAATTATATAGGTCACAATAGGAAAACCAAATTTGTTTACACATATGATACATACTGAAAATACACACGGTAAAATTCATTATCACTATCTAATCTAAATGTGGTTTTTTAAGATATAAGGTTTCTCGCTTATGTTATATACAAAAAATACAATCATTCTCAACTTCAACCTTGAGCTTATAATATTTTATAAAAAATTATAAACATATTTACCATGATCAACAAGCCAAGCCATACAAAGAGCGTTCAATTTTTCATCGAAAAACTGAACACCTAATTGTCCTGCGAGAAGTGGCATATATTCAATAATGGCTAACCTCACTCTCCATTTTGCATCTTCTGCGAGTTCGACTATTGCCGGGAGTAATGATTGCGACAACTGCAGAATAGAAAAAGATGTATGAGACATTAGTAAATAGACGACGATCGAAACTTACGTATAACAACATAGAATAACTCCTCACTTGTTGTATTCCGATTACTTCGTTAACACAATCTAGATTAGAAATAATATTAAGTCGAACTTCAGGGCACTCATCTTTAAGCTGTGACAGAAACAGAGGTAAAAGGTGTTCTATTGTGCTGTAAAAAAAAAAAATTAAGGTATGGGATTAACTTATTATATAATAATAAAAAAAAAATATATATGAAGGGTTTATTATTCTTACATATTTTTTCCGAGTATAGGAGAAAGCCCCATTATGACAGAAGCTAAAGCAGCTTTTACATGTTGATTTGGATCAGCAACAAGCTCCTTCACGTATGGTAGAATGTTTACCATTATAATGGGTTCTCTAAATAGAAAATATACAAATAAAATTAAATAAGAATATAATAAAAATATTAACTTGAGTTTTATTAAAATAAACTTTTGAGGAATTGAATTTCAGGATTATTAAAGGGTAACAAAATGTGTCCCATTACATCATTTAGAGGTAAGCGCATCAGTGATAGACATAGCTAAGGAAATTTTTGACATTTTTGGCTTATGCTGCCGTAATTATCGTAGTTATAAATTTTTCCGTTGGAAATTTAAAATCTCAAGGATCTCCTTTTTTCTATTCAACACTTTAAAATTTAAAAAAAAATTCAGTTATGCAGATATAATCTCCATTTAAAAAAAAAAAAATACCTTTTTGCACTAACGATTAAGATAAATTTTTTTTACCATGAGCCAGGATTCGAACCTGGGACTTTGAGCATAGGAAGTTCAGTATTTACATTTTAAGTCCAATCTGTCCATAACTGATGCATTCACCCTATTCTTCACAACCTAATTTACAAACTAAATAAAAATGAGAAAATGCCTACCTATGTGAATGCCAATATGTTTAAAAGTTTAACTTTTATTTTTAAAAAGTGTTGGTATCACTGCAATTTTTATTGTCAATAGTTTTTCAGTTTTTTGGAACTAGTACTTTTTTCCTTGCAGATTTTCAGATAAAGGTTTTACTTTTAAAAAACTTTTATTCATAGGTGCTCAAACCAACGAGATATTAAAATCATAAGTAATTCATTTAAGACAAATTATAACTCTAATCTGAGCTAACCCAATTACTGTTAATATTTCATTTAAAAAAACTTTTTATAAGAATTTGAATCAAGTTACCATAAACCTGGAACTTTTTTACAAAAAGGTTAATAAGAACTTTTTTAATACCAAGTTTCACAAAAACTGTTAAAACAGAACTTTTTAAAAAGTTTTAAGATCTACTGCAGACAATATTTATTAAAAGATTTGCTAACCTACAGTTTTCCACATGGATTGACGTTAATGCTTAATTCCTATATGTTATAGAAAAAAAAAAAAATTTAGCAACAATTACTTTTTTTAAAACATTCAAAACTTTTAGAAGTGATCAGGTGGTAGAACCATCAAGATGGCAAACAGACAACACATGACAGATAATAATTTAAGGGTTCGATCAATAAGTCTATATTAAATTTTTGCAAGTTTTCGACAGTTACATTCTACATAGCTCTATTACAATACACGTTTACATTATCAACACATAACGTAAAGTCATAACAATGCTGTGTCACGAGAGATTGACAAAATAAGTTTCTAAGTTACATGCAAGGAAAAAAAAAAATGTCTAGGTAAATAGATCTTCCCTAAATTCCAAATAAGATCTCCATAGACCATTATTAATACCGAACCCAACAATAATTACAATTGGTAACTAATAGGAACATACAGAATAAAAGGTAATTACAAAATTAGAAACACAGTATTTTCAAATGGAAAATCGAAGTAGGTATCAGAAAAGTTTTGGCAAATGTATAAGAGATAAAAGACAATATTTCTATATTGCATTGATAATTTATAACTAAAGTTTTATAATTAGTATTATTAACGTTTCTACATTATTTTAACCAATATGAAAATGTAAAATATTTTATTTATTTATTATTATTTGTCAATATGTATGTACATATATAAATATTCATCCTTAGCAACATTCAAAACCCTCCTATTCCAATTCCTATTGACAAAACATTCAGAAACTAGCTAACTACCTGTCAAGTAACAGTACATTGTTTAAAAAATTGTTATGACTACATAAATATATGTTTGTGTATGTATGTATATATTTTTTTTTTTTTCTCCTTCTGAGGAACTTGTATATATTTATATTTTTCACAACATGGTTCCGTTCTACAAGATTTTTTGCTCCTTAACTTTTTTTATTTATTTTCATCTTATTTTTGTTATATAGTTTTTAATTTTTACTAAGATATAATAAATATTTTTTTATTTCTTTATCTTTTACTTCTTACTTTATCTGTTTTAATTGATGCTCATCTATCAGAGGAATATATTTTTAAAAGCTAAGTAGCAATTATTTTGTTTCATTTTTTATTAGTATTTTATGTAGTTACTTTCATTGTTTGATTTTCCATATATTATTAGTATACTAAAGTTATATTATGTCTATATTTATTAATGCAATTGTTCTGGCAAGAAGTAATTCTTTTTTTTTTTCTGTATCATTGCGTTATTCCTTAGGGACTCCGCACCCCAGAATAAAGTTATTTTTTTATTTCTATATATTTTATTCAATTTATAAGAAGGAACTTAATATTATTTTTTATTTAAATAGTTACTATTGAATCGTTAAACAACCAAATCCTTGCTGTAAGTTATTCTTTATAAGCAATAATTCATTCATTTAAAACTTAAGTAGGTAATAAAGTTTATATCACTATAAAACTACCTGCAAGTAGGATCCAAAGCCTGACAAAAGTCTCTGATTTTATTAGCAGCAGCAGCTCTGACTTCTGCTTCGGAATCCTTCAAAAGAGATTGAAGGGCTCCGACCAGTTCAGCTTTAGTTATTTCTGGGCCGACAGCTTTTTGTAACTAGAAAAAACAAAACATAATTCCTGTATTCAACAGTATACCTTATGTTAAAACGTTATTTAGTTTTAGAGTTCTTAATTAGATTATTGGATTGGCAAATAAGTCCTTTTGGTTTTCCTGCTTATTTTTATGTCACTATGATACACTTCTTATCTGATGAATTAATCCCTAAGGTGAATTGTTTATCCTGTTTGTAATATGTCAAAAACTATAGATATAGATGTTAACTCTCGTTGAAACTAGCTTAGTATTGTGTTTGCTATTGCACTGTGAATATGGAAGAGCATATCATTCAGTATCGCAATATTTTGTGAAAGGTAAGCGTGCTGCAGAAGCTCATAAAAAACTGTTTAATGTTTATGGGGATGATGCCTTAACCGAACGCACATGTCAAAATTGGTTTGCCAAATTTCATTCAGAAAATGTTGACATCAATGATGCTCAACGGTCTGGTAGCCCATATGAAATTAAAACGAGCAATATTAAGGCCATTGTTGATACTATGGCCCTAAATGTGTCGCACACAAGCATAGAAAACCATTTGCACAAGTTTAGCAGTCCCTCACATGATTTTTATTAAAAAATGTTATAACTTCAATACAACTTCAGCTATCTAAAAGAAATTTAGCAGCAATTTAGAGACACATAAACTATAAAAAACGACATCAACAGGACCTTTGTAAACAAACTAAAAATGGAGATAAAAAAAAAAACCTATAAGTTCTTGTTTATTTATTCCTTATGTAGACATTAAATAAAAAGCTTTCTAATATATATAGTAACATCGAAAGGGTGTTTTGTCCCACCAAGACAACGTTAGGCCCCACACCTCATTGGTCACTCGCAATAAATTATTGAGCCTTGGATGGGACCTTTTGCCCCACCATCTCTATTCACCAAACTCCAAGTGACTAACACTTATTGCTGTCTCTGCAGAACTCCATGAATGGAAAGAAATTACAAAAGGAAGAGGATATAAAAAACCATTTGGATCAGTTTTTTAACAATAAACCCCAGATATTCTATGAACATCGCATTATGCAGTAAGTGGAAAGATGGAAAAGTGATATTAAATAATCTACAATATATTGTAGATTAAAATAAATTTAATGTCTATAGTGCATAGAGTCTTATTTCCCCCTAAAAGACTGAAAGGACTTGTTTGCCAACCCGATAATTCAATAGGTAATGGGTTAGGTTAAATTCATACAACTTTTAAATAATTGTTATGACTTATTCAATATAAAATATTTTATTTATCTTACCTCTGTAAACTTATCAGCGACCATGTATCGTACTCTCCAAGAATTGTCTGAAGTACACTGCCTGAGAGTAGGCATTACAAGTTGTTCCACATCCTCTTGTTGTAAAAGCGATGCTATACTAACGCAAGCTTCTACTGCTAATAATCTCACCGAATCCTATTAAAAAAAAAAAAAAAAAAAAAAAAAATTGATTGTCATCACTCTTCGAACTATCAAATCATTGAATAGCAATTATGAAAGAAAAATATGAATCAATCAGCTGTCGAACAATTGGAATGGGAAGAGCTTTAAAGAAAACTTATTTATTCAGATAAACAACTGATAATATTCATATGAGATCAAAATATATAATTAAATAAAGCTAAACAACTGGCCTAAACAAAATTATAGTATATCTAAACATAACTTATTATCAATTAATTGAGTGGGACCAAAACAAAAACTGTCATTTTCAGAAAGTAGAGAAAAAGTATACTTTTTTTATAGGTCCAACACAAACCTTTTTCTGATTATTTTATTTAAGATAGTTGTTGGATCATCAAAAAAAAAAAAAAAATAATAAAATAAATAAAATAAAAAATTAGAATTGGTTTAAATTGAAGCTATGTTACAAAAGTTAAATTTTAATCAACTTTTTAAAAATGAAAGGCCCATCTTTGGTATGAAGCCACTCAATTATTGAATAAACTTTAAATTTTATTTTAAATATCCTCAAATTTTTAATTTTAAATGCTTTAGTTTGATTTTAAATAATTTTGGGAAGGAAATCATTACATCAGATGTATAAAATCTTTAAATTTTTTTCTCATGCATGTATGACAAAATTTTAAATTTATATCAGGCATGTCGTTCTATTTCTGTTTTTAACAATAAACTTATGCGATCGACCCAAAATTTTTTATAATTTCTTATTATACAAAAATATTTTCGAAACTGTTCAATATAATTAAGTGTTTAATTCTAATGGGACAACTATTGTTACTCGTTTTAAATTATAAATGATATTTAAAATGTATTATTCTGACTCATAGAAAAATTGAAAATCTATAAAACTGAAAAATAAAATAATTACCAATTTTTTGAGACTTGATTTACGAAAACATACTCTGTTACTTTTTTTAATAAACCGGTGGTATCCTTTTTAAGTACATGCACTAAATTTAATACAAGGGTTAAGAGTAAGTAAAAATAAGTCAATGGAAAAGAATAGAAATATAACCTGTTCATCTTGGGCCAAACTAACAAACATGGGTATAAGATCAGTTTTGAGATATTCTAATTCGACGACTTTCGCGAATTCACCCAACTTGCTTGCAGCAGCCCTCCTCACCATAGGGGTATCATCTTGGCATAGGTTTCTAAAGTGCGTGCGTAAATCAGCTGAAAAAATAAACATTACTTTCAGTTATTCCATAAGGAAAATAAAAAAAAAAAATAGTATCACTTAATAAAAATAAAATATATATTGTGACATGTCATATGACATTATTTTAAACTATAACAATTTTGGTTAAAACAAATTCCTAAACTTCAAGAAATACAAAGAAATTGATCGCATAAAAAAAATTAAAAGATCAACTATAATACTGACTTTAAATTTATTTTATAAACCCTGAAGTAGATAAAGTGTTTTAGTATAAGACTTAGTCAAACAATAAATAATGTTAAGAATATATAATTAGAATCATTGTAATTATGAAATAACGAAGAACACGCCATAATATGTTTGACACGTCATATGTGCTTGAGTGTCTGCAACATTATGTAAATAACAATTATTATAAATCAGAACAGTGAATTAGATGTCGCACCACTGAGCTGTAAAGCGGACCCTACACGGTCATTCGGAATTGCATTCCAAGGCACTAATAACATTCCGAATTATCGTGTAAGGTAGGGAATGAAGTACCGATGGTGGTGCGTTGCGGATTTCCGAACATCCGGAAATCAAAGGTTCATTCACGAAGTAGTGGGGAGAGTAACCATACTACTGGATAGGTTAGGTTACCTAGGCCTCACAACCATTATAATTTTCTGATTTTCATTATATGTAAATAGTTAAATAATTTATATGTAAATAGTTAAATAATTTTTCATATCCCTTGTTTATATTTTTAAACCATCTTCAACTATTTCTTTTAAATAGTCAAGTGGGCAACAAATTAAAAAAAAAAATGTGGAAACTTCACAATTTACTTATAGAAAAAAAAATCTATAACTGTTGTGTTTACTTGTCATTAATTTTTCCATTTTTCTTAACAAATTGATTATTTTCGCAAAACTTCTCCTAAATTTTTGTATGTAGTTGACTTAAATTTTTCTAACTTTAGTCTAAAGAATTTTCAGGCACTAGGAAGTAATTATTATATCTCTATTTTTCTCTTGATGCCCAATATTGTAAATGACAATGTCCAAATAAGCATATCTATGCTATTTCTTTGTTTACAACTCAGCTAAATTGGCTTCAGCAATGATAAGTAATGATTGAACGTGTAGGGGTCTTCATGATCAAAGCTATACCGAGCAATCTTTGCCATTCTAGTAATGTTCATTCATGAATTACCGTGTAGGGTCCGCTTAAAATTGGCTGACTTCCAGTATTTTTTTCATAAAATTTCCTAATTTTCAGTGTTTATTCATAAAATTTCCAGGCTTTCAGTATTTTTCTATAAAATTTTCTGATTATTCCTATAAATTAGCATAAAATGTCACAATTTAATTAAATATTTGAGTCACTTCACTGACTGTATGTACATAATAAAATAATGAATTTTATATACATTTATAAAGTAATACTACTATTTAAATTCAATTACATGCATTCTAGGAAAGTTAGAGGTTTAAGAAAGTAAAGCAATTTTTTTTTTTTTTTTTTGTAATTAAAGCATTTATTATGAAACTGTACCATGCAGGGACAAATTTTTTAAAAATGTATCTATGTAAGAAAAATATTTACAGATGATAACTAAATATTATGTTAACCAATCGAAAAATCTTGAATAAACTCTAAATAAGTATTATTTGCATTTCTTTAAATGGAATATGAAGTAAAATAATATACCTTTAACTGAACTATTAACTCGGCCATAACAGACAGAAAACAGGCCACAAGCCGATGTTCGTGATGTAAACCAATCGCCAGAAGAAAGCCGCGTAACTAGAGGCACGAACCTATTCTCTAGGTCCTGTGGGCTATGTTGGGAACTTATGTGCCTCAAAGACTCTACAGCTTTGTCCCGCACAACAGTTTCTTCTACGGTAGCAAGCGATTCCAAAGGAGGCTAGTATAATTATAATAATTATATACAGATTAGTCACAGTTTACACAAAGTATTAGTAAATAAAACAAAGAACTACACTCAGTTTAAGAAAACTATAAGGGCATGCATTAGAAATAGTATCATAATAAAATAAGTAGTTTTCTTTGTACAACATGTAATTATCAATGTTTTTTTTCAAATAAGTAGAAAAATCATAAAAACAGTCTGTAATAAGAACAACAATTTATTTAGTCTTAAGTGTCACGTGTTTCATTTACACTTAAACATGACTCTTGTCCTCCAGTGTTCTTTAATAATATCACTCTACCACCTTCAAAAACTGTACAATATTTGGGTCTCCACTTGGACAAACGACTGACATGGACATACCACATAAAAGAAAAGAACTTAATCAGCGATACGGACTTCTTTCTAGGCTACTTGACAGACGTTCTAAATTATCTGTGACTAATAAATTAACTATTTACAAAGTCCTCATTAAACCACTTTGGACATATGGGATCGAACTATGGGGAACAGCAAAGAAATCAAATATAAAAATCATCCAGTCATTCCAGTCAAAAGTCCTTCGGAAAATTGTAGACGCACCCTTTTATGTTTCAAACCTCACGTTACACACTGACCTTAACACTCCTTTCATCACGGCAACTGCCACTGACCGCTTTAATAATTTTCATGACAGACTGACTCTAAATTCCAATCCACTTACTCAAGCTCTATCTACTGCCACAAATCCATATAATCCGCCCAGAAGACTGCTGAGGCGCTGGCCAAGAGACTTATTGCATTGAGCTACTTGCTGCATTATCTTTTTTTTTTTGTCTTTTTGTTTTGTTATTACTATTCTTTTTTTTTTTTTTATGCTATCATTTATTCTCCTTGATATCATATTTGCTGAATACCGAGGTAGATGGCAAATTTATTGTGAGCCAGGAATATGTATAACTAATAAATAAGTGTCAATAAAAATTTAATATAGCTGTGTTAACAGAATTATTATACAAATTAGTTTCATAAATTTTTAATTTTGTAACAATCCAATATAAGAGAAGTTTTATATTCAGCTTAAATTTTCAATGTGTTTTTAATAAATCAGAACATTACACAGAAGTAAGTGCAAAAAATAGACATTTCAGCCATTGTTCTGCCTGTCTGTTTTATGTGGCACATAAGACTTAAATGTATGTTTTATGTGATTATCTCTTGAACAGGTGGACAGATTTTGTTAGTTTTTTTTTTTTTTTTTTTGTTTTGTCGTTGTTTTGTTTTGGCTCCTGATCTTGTATATTCAATTGGACACCCTCTGCACATTGGCAGTAACAACTATATAATATTAAAGTAAAAAAACAACTTATTTTGTCCATTAGATTGCTAACTATAAATGTTAAAGTTTCTTCTTCTATAACTTATTTTTAAATACTTTATGTTACCAATTCAATAAATCATTATTTTCGTTTCTATTTTTTTCTTCTTCTGCTCTTCTATTAATTAAACCACCAATAACGGCAAACCACTCAGATTGTTCCGTTCCCAAAACCAGAAAAGGCTTTAACTATCATATCATACAGACCCAGAGCCCTTTTACTCTGTCTGGCGAATAGTTTAAATATATGAATTCAACACAGATTAGAATGGTCCTTACAACAGAAAGAAGTTCTGTTTGAAAAACAAATCTACTCCTGATGCAGTCTGATACTTAACAAGCGATATATACAAAACTTTCCAACAGAAGAAAAATTTATTAGCTGTAACTCTAACTAAAAGAAATAGACATCTCACATCTCATCACCAATTATAACAGGGATAACTAATTACCTATCCGTCCACACATATCTGATTCATACTCAGGAAGGTTCAGTCAGTTTCTATTCCTACACTGGCTTACCACAGGGAGAGCTCCTTAGCACCATTTTGTTCAATTTATACACAGAGCATATCGTTAAAATTCCACAACCTTGTTCAAAATTATTCAATTTGTTGAAGACTTCCTAATTTTACCGTAATAGAATCACCAGAGAAGAGAAAAAACATTAGAAGAAACGCCTTGGAATCACTAAGGCGGAGATTCAATGACATTGGCTTTCAAATCAATCCTAGTAAAAGCAAATTGATCCCATTTGTAGGAAAAAGAAAATTCCGAATAACTATTATATCTCAATAAACAGTTACCAACTTCTTGCTCAAGATCAAATAAAAGTCCTTAGGTTAACGTTAGACGGAAAATGAATTTCAAAGTTCATTTGGCAAATATACAAACTAAGAGTATTAAAACGTTAATATATTAAAACATTTTGGCTGGGATTTATTGGGGCTCTAATCCCTTAAACATGATATTATATAAATTTATTATCCAACCTGATTTGAACTACTGCTGCATGATTTTTAATGAAATGAAATCACCTATGATTAACAACTCAAATACTGTGCAAAACTTAGCAATCAGAATATCATTAGGAGCTTTCAAACTCAAACCAGCTAATGGGTTGTTAGCTGAATTAGGAGAGATGCCAATAACCTTCAGAAGAATATGGCTTACAAAGAAATATATTCTTAAGAGAATATCAGATAAACAGCAACCCTTAAGAAAAGCAACAAGTTCTAGAAACATATATTCTCCAGTTATAAATAATTTAATAATTGAAATGCAGCCTATGCTACAAGCAGTATACATAGTGAAAGGTTCCCTGGAACTAAACACACCATTGTCCAGCAGAATGATACAATTTGAAAGAAATCTCAAGCTAACTATGAGTCATGGTTGTGAATCATCAAACAACCCTGAAATATTAAAACAATTAGCTCTTAATACAACAGATGCTCATTACTCCGACCATGTAAAGGTATAAACAGATGCGACCTACAACCAAACAGCAATAGCCATAATAGATTCAGCTATAGAACACACAATTTTATTTTTCATACCAACCAACTTTGGCATTTTCAGTGCTGAACTTTTTGCATTCTTAAGAGCCATTGATTATTGATAAAAATAATACATTGATAATAAAAATACCAGGAGTGGTTTAAACTGATTACTAGAAACTTTTAGCATAACATATATTAATTCCATCTTAAAAACTTCAAAAGACTGTGAAAAGTGTTTGTGCTAGTGTTTAAGAAATAATTTTACTGCTCTTACTATTGGTTCAAAACACAACACTACCTACTTCAAACTATCAGTTTAACCAATATTTAAGTTATATTTTTCCATAAGTAGCATGGCATAGACATAAAAATATAAGATTAATGTTCTAAACTTACCAACAAACAGTAAACATATTCAGGGCCACCAACAAGCGGAGTAAACTGCCCAAGTTGTTCGGCGAGAGCAAGCAATACTTCATCTTCATCATAAATAGTATCCGTCAGAAACGGAATAAGTTCACTCCTTGTTCGGTCAACACCAAGTGCTAAAGATATTGTCGACAACTTCTTAATAGAATTAAGTCGCAACTGAAAAATAATAACAAGAGGAAAATAAAATAACAATATATTTTAATTTAAAATATCTTTACCACTATTCTTAATTATTAATAGTATATAGAAAACAGAAAATCGTGACAAACATAGAAAAGATAATTAACTATAATTTTCAATCAGTAAGTTAACTGTTTTTATTGGGCACAGTGAAGTACAAATAATTAAATAAGTGTTCAATAAATAATTGCAGGTCCGATCTACTGTTTTAATAGCACAAGGTCCATGACCCCAATATTATAACAAGAAGATATTATCAGATAAATATATTTATTTGTCATACCCTCTCTAAATGCTTGGAAACATGATAACAATATAGGTAAGTATCATCGATGGAAATCTAACACCTGAGAATGTTACCTATTTATTCATTATGATGATAAACAATTATTTTAATTAAAATAAAATAAACAAAAATTTTATCTTCCCAACAGCTGATAAGGTCCACGTTACGAATTTATCTCTAAGCTAACAGAGATCAAGAACAATGATTTGTTTAAAGCTATCATAATTTTGTTTTTTTTCTTATAGAGTTTTAGGAAAATCCCAAGGAAAATCAAATATAAAATTAAATCCTTATCAGCAGAATTCTAGATCATAACTTGAAATTAAGGCAGAATTTTAGTTCCGTCTAAATGTCATGATGTCTAAAAAGAAAACATTACTCCACAATACAACTCTACAATCCATAACAAACATCAAACTAAAAAATGCATAAAACTTCATTGGAAACTAACGATAATATGCATACTCAATTGGGGGGATAACTAAAAATAGAAGACCATAAAAAGGACAGAATATTGGAAAAGAGTGGTATTAAGAATTTACAACTATTTAGTTGTATGGCACGCTACAAATGGCCAGTGAATATTCAAATTTGAAACAGGAAATAATCTTAATTTGCTTCCGAGGATATCCCTAATACAGGCCCATATTTGTTTTTTATAAGGATTTTAGTGGTCCTATACAGAACATTATTATTGATGATAATTCTCACCAAGGATCTCTAATAAACAAAATAATTCATTTCAAATGTATAAGAGTTGAATTAAACTAAATCTTACCGTGTTGAAAATTGGTCCTTTGGTCATTTTTTTATCTATACCTAATCTAAAGGCTAGTTATTTGATGTTACAAAAGCAGATAATGACGTACAACTAATAAACTCTATAAATAACCATAAAATCAACAATTGTACCGAACAGCTAAATTATTGTGTTTTATGTTTATCTTTCCTTGTCAAAGGGAAATTTCTACAAAACAATGCCGACGAATCTCACTGGCCTTCATTATTTAAACTAGAAATAACTATAAACACACCATACACTCAATTAATGATACTTGTTTGTAAAACAGTAAGGAGACTAAATTTAGTACTTTTATCATTTAACTTAAATTAATTTGAAAACTTAGATTCTTAAACAAAAAGTACTATTTTACAAGTATCCAATGAGAATACCTCTAAAATTTAACAAGAGTGGTGAAATGTTATAAAACCTCTTAGAAAGTAGATTAAATAAAATATTTCATTTTGAAGAACAAATTTAAGCTATTTTCAAGGATAGAATCACTAAATTAAAAAACATACTATACAAATAAAACTAGGAGGTATTAAAGATCGTTAAATTCACCACTCCATCGTTACTATCACATTACTAAAATGATATCAACAAAAATAACAAACAAATTAAATTAGAAATAGAACCTGTTCCAAAATGGACATATGTAGAAAATAAAAGAACTCTTTTGGGATTGAAATATAAATATAAAAATCTCTCCGATAATTAGCAATTATGATGGATAAAACTGTAAACATAAAATAACAACAAGAAATCATAAGTCAATTATGACAAAGAAATTTCCTTCTCAGCTTCAATTTAGTTCAATCAGTTCATAAAATACAATTATTCATTACTTCAATAACACATATGAACAATTACTCATGTTTGAATGATATTAATGAACCAAAATATGCGATACAACTTAAGCATTATTTTAGGGTTAGTTAACTTCAGATTAAGAGCAACAAAACGATGTTTTGTTATCTTTCTAAATATTATCACTATGATAGATATTAAAGGCTTCACATAATGAAAATAATTAGAATCAATCTTAATACAAGTTTTGAAAGTAACATAAAAAAAAAATATAACGAACAACTGAGACATGGGCAGAACTTGCTTAATTTTTCTGCTATGTATTGAAAATTTTTGTCATGAAGTAGGCAAATAACTTAACTACTTAGAAGCGAATGAAATCAATGCTTAGTAGAACTTAAGCATTTCATAGTGTGTGTAATCAAAGATAAAAAAAATCCAACTGAAACAATCATTCTCAGCAACTAATTGAAGAGTCCCTTTAAAATTCAATACAAAGTTTACATTCAGACCATAAAAGTCAACAGATAAACAATCACAAGTGCTGTTAAAATATATATATATATATATTTTTTTTTTGTTAAGTAAAAAACCAGAAATACTAGCATCTAATAATAAATAATAAAATAGAAAAAAGCAAGATTTTGTGAGAGCAGTATAGATGATGTACATAAGATAATAGATAGTTTCGACACACACTTAAAATATGCCAAACATAATATTAAGAAATTCATTATGCCCAAGTTAGCAAATTAATAGTAAGGGAAGAAATAAAATTCGAAATATAAACAATGGATGAATTAGTAAAAAAAGAAAACACCAAAATATAAATCTACATGCCACTAAGAAAAAGGTCTAGACCTCTATTGTTGGCATCTCTATGTAACATTAAAGCATTGATATAAAACAACAGTAGGGTGGATACTCATTCTATAAATACTCACTTGAAAACTAAAAACCTTTTACATTTGAAGAGTGAATTTATCATAAAAGAAATGAAGAAAACTAGTATGAACTTATTACTAGCTATTCACTACAATGACACTTTTTGAAGTTACAACGATTAAGTTTAAGAAACTACTAAGCAATGACAATTACTTTAATTTACTAACCTGCACATCTTCGTTTTTTAGTTCGTCTATAAGAACAGCAATAGGATAAAGAGAATCGTCCGACGATGAATCACTTGCAGCCATTTTGACTGAGTTAAGTCAACACTTAACCGCCTGTATGTTTCTTTAAAAAATTAATCCGACAAGTAACTCCAGAAAAAATAAATTAGATCATCTTATACCAAAACGGATACATTCCGAAGATATAGCGCCTAAAAGTAAAATTGTATTGATTAGAACTAACTGCAATAATTTTGCTAGGACTGTTCTCCAATGTATACTGCCACCATAACCAAGCAGCCTATAAATACTCTCAAACTTTTTAGGCAATATATGCTAATTACTAAGGAGAGAGAATTTATAAAAATTAAATACATTTAATTTAAACTTAAATTAAAACAATAACTTCAGTTTTGTGAAAATTATACAAGATTATATCCAGTCTTTGACGTCATCTAGTTGAGGAGGGAATTAATTTGAATTCAAATGAATGGATGCAATAACTTACAGAAATTTACATGTAAATTTACCACAGCGTCCGTTACACTATGTGCACTAGTCCTTTAATATTTTTTAAAACTGGCTAATCCATCAAACAATTTTCAAACTTTTTTACCAAACGTAATAAATGCAATTCTTTTCTTCTAAGTTCAAAAATCACTAAATAAATTTCAATACGTATAGTTTATAATCATTGAATAGATATTTTTTAAATACATATTAATCATAAATCTGGAATTCAGATCATATACACTCATATTTATACTTACCACTAAATCGCATATGATGTTTGACCCCATCAGACCAATTATGGATGAATTCGCTAATCAAGCCTAGAAACTGCTGTCCACTTGTATAAGTTCGACGAAAGTGTGGTCAGTTTCATAGACACTCTTTGTCAACAAAAACAAAAGGAATCTCCTCATGCAGTCAAATGGGCATGGTAAGTAATGAAACTAATCAAAACCGAGCACTTGTTATCATAAACAAAAAGGCTTTAGGTTCAGAAACAGAGCCTTGTGGGTAGACGTCCACCATGAAATTTTACAAGGCGTCTCCCTCCAAACCAGATATACCATTGCACTTCCGCCGACATACGATAAATATCGAATTTCTACCATCTTGTAATATTTTTAACAACAGCAATTGGAACTGAGATTAGAAATAATGATTAAAATAAAATGATCTAGTAAATAATTTGAAACTTCTTGATCGTAGTTAAAATGATGTGGATATCATAAATTTCAAAGTTAAATGTCCTGATATGGCATTTCCGGCCATCATCTGGTTGTCGTTTGTTAAAAGTTTCAAATCAGTTTTTGGGGAGGAAAAAAAATAAAAGACTGTCGGATTTATTAAGACTGTCTATTCATCATTTGTATTTACCCTGAATGTGGACTTACCTACAGACAAGTGTATAAGCAATTTAGATGTTTAGAATATTTTATTCTTGCTTATACAGATGGAAATAATCCCACATATATTTTGAAATGCGTAATCGCTACTGTTAATAAATTAATTGAATTTTTTTTTACATTTATGGTTATAATAACCATAAATTTAGGTTTCATCATAGTATTAGATTAGGAATACACACAACTATGTTTAGTATTACATAATATTTGTATGTGTTTTTTTAAATCAGTCAGATTAAGATGATTAAAATTAAAGGAAAAATTATTGCAATTAAAATATAAACATAAAATCTAGGTTAATATAGTTCATATACAAACCTAGAGTTAAACTGTGGTTCTAGAATTTTTCATAGAACCTCTAATTTCGCGCCTTTCGCATAACCTCTATGGCGAAAAACTCTTTGTTAAAACAATACAAATCCCTTCCTCAGTCGCCGGGATTTCAAAGGATTAAATAAAATTGCGTTGTTGTTATTACATTGTCTCCATTTGGTTCTGTAATTTTGGAATATATTCATTTAAATATTCACAATGCTTAAGGGTTTCAAATATTCTTATCGTTTTATTTGTAATAAAAATTGTATAAGACATTCTTCTCAGGTTTTTGATCTCACATATTTTCATTATTTTCTCTTCAAGTAAATTGAACTATTTTAGTATGACATGCCCATTTATAACCCACAGGGAAATATATGGAAGGAAAGAGTTTTTTCTGGTATCCAGCCTACAGGGACTTTGCACATAGGGAATTACTTTGGTGCTGTACAAAACTGGGTTAAATTGCAGAATGAGAAAAAGGACGTGATTTTTAGTATTGTTGATCTTCATTCTATTACTCTGCCTCAGGTATCCAAAATGTTTCGAAACTGATTTGCTAATTTTACGCTCAACAAATGCTTTAGATTTTCTCAAATGTTTATTAGGCTTAAAAATACAGTTTGCTTTGTCACTATTCATTATTTCAAGCTTACTAGTTGATTGAGCAGCTGCATATAAATTATTCTGTCTGATTTTGTTATAATTAAAAAAAAAATAATAGCAGACCCTATTGCCTCAACAGTTCATCCTAAGCCGCACTTCGTTTTTTTTTATGAGTGATGTGATATTTTGCAAAATAAATGAAAGTAGTTTAACTGATAATATTGATTATTACTTAGAATTCATTAAATTAATTGTTTATTCTCTTCTTATTTGTTTATTCATGAACATCTTTATTGCAGAAATCATTTAGGTATAGCATAGGACAAGTTCCTAAATTCACACTCAGCTTATTAATGGCATCGTTTCACCAAATTTAGAGATGTATCTGATGCCTTTAGTGTGCTCATCACTTAGTTTAGGAGCTTATCTGTAATAGGGTGAATCTCAGCTATAGATATTTGATGAGTAGTATTTAGGTGGATTACATCATCCAATAAACATTTTGATTTTAATAATGGTGTTAAAAATCCAAAAATTTTATCTTACCAACTTTTAGATATGAATGATTCTCCTGTTCCAAACACCCAAATATTACTTTTGCTAACAGTTTTTTTATTTTTTTATTTATGCATATAATGAATTGGTCATGATTCAATACTATGAGACACAAATAATTATCGCTGACAGTCCCATTAAAACATTTAACATAAAACCTAAGCCTTGCACATCTAATCCTGTAAAACTATTTAAAAATTAAGACTTTTTAAGTTTGTATCTAGCAATTTTTTTTTTTATTTTTTCGATATATATATCTTAAGCAAAGAGAAATATATTAAAATAATTACCCACTTAAAGACTTATAACGAAATAATAGTGAGAACTGTTTTTAATCAAGTGCTGATGTTTGAAGCATAATGTAGTTCTCCATCAGGGGTCAATGCAAGGAGATGACTGATTAAATAGTTTCATCAGGATCTGAAAAAGTCGAGAATTTTAAGATAATACCTTAGAAGTAGACAATTTCATAAAACCAGAGGCCTTTTTGGAAATTAGCAACATATTTTAAATAAAAAAAATATTTAGCAATTTAAATATTCTAATCCACACTATTAGAGGGCTTATATTATAAATTATAAATTTTTGTTAGAAATCTAAGAAAAATAAAGATCCTCTCAAAGTCTCTTTGATTCTAAAAGCAATAGAAACATCATCTGTAAAACTGATTTTTAAACCTTTTTTACTTTTCTACCTATACTAGGTAAGGAAAGTATTACGATCGGGTCAAATTTCCAATAAGCGGTTTTCGACTGATCTATATGTTTCCGAGCCCTCTGAGTCCGAAAAACACATTTTTAGCCATTGGTCGGTCTGTCTGTGCAAAGATTTTCTTGAGAACTAGTGAACCAATTTTGTTGCTTCTTTTTTCATTTTATAGGGTCTTGACTACAGATGCCTGTCACACAAATTGGATGCTCCATTTGCAATAACTGCTGTGCAATAAATGAAAAATATGTTTTTCTAAAGACTGTAGTGCCAAAATGGCTCTAACGATTTTGATGAAACTTTCCTATAATGGTGTAATAATTGTCCCTTCAATTTTCGTATATGGACTAAATTCCCGAAAAAATCAGGAAAAAAAGTTATAAAGAAAAGGAAAATGTTTTGGGGCTTAACTCGCTAAGTATATATTCTATGGTAAAACTTATAATAAAACTTTTGGAATATAATTAAATTACCAACAAAACAAAAAAAAAAATCATTGGAATCAAACCAGTATTAGCGAGGTTACAGATTATTCTTGTTATTTATTTTTATTTTTTTTAAAGGTAATGAAATTCCCTACAAAACTATATAAAAATCATTCATTTCAGACAACTATTAAGGAAGTTATAGCTGTTCAATTTCCAATGTAAGATTATGGGTTCATATTCCTGGTGTCAGAAAGCTGTGAATGAGAGAGAAAAGATAACTAAGTGAAAGTAAGAAAATCTGTTGCCCGCATCACACAAGCTTCACTATGTCCTCTACTTTTAACAGAAATTATTTTTTGACAAAATTAGGCTTTGGCAACTGAACTGTTAGTTTGTTGTAAATGCTTATCTCCGAAAGTTCTTCACTGATTTCTTTGAAAGTTTGATATGATCAATTCAGGAGTGTTTTTATTTTTTATATCATTCATTTCATCCGGCTTATCTTTTCGCAATTGTAGCCATAAAAATGTGTTGCTATAGACCATAGCGCCAAAATCGCTGTAATGATTTTAACGAAACTTACCCAAAGTCTTTTCCTTGAAGCCCTTTTAATTTATATGTATATAACATACTTCCCCAAAAATCGACTGAAAGTAAAGATGGATTCAGAATTTTATTTGCGATTTAGAAATTTATATGTTTTGTAAAAACATATAAAATTTTATGCACAAATATATTAGATAAGAAACAAAATGTTGGCAACATATAAATTCATATATTTTCCTCAAATTTTAAATGCTGATTATGGTAAAATTTTGACCACTGGGTGAACACTAGTATGACTAAAAACAAAAATCAAGTAACATAAAAATAAATAAAATAATTGTTTATCATGGAAAGCTGATGAAAATGCTGCATTAGGTTTGACATGTAGATGTATCACTATCATATAAACTAAATATAATTTATTTATTTTGACTGAAAATTCTAACCAACTGCTCTTCAAAATAAGTGTTTTAATGACCTGAAACGTTTACAATATGGCCTGAATATTCATCAATGAAGTCATATAATGTGGATCGATAAATCAGTATTTAATAAATGGTTTCCGCTTTTATTTTGTCTTATTCTTATTTAATTGGATTTAGACCATCTGCTTGACTTATGACTTATATAAGCCAATTATCAATTTTAGTTTGTTTTTTTGAAACATATCACTTTTTGAATACTTGATGGTTGACCGTGGTATACTACTGAGTAAGAGATTGTCCGAGGTTACGGTCATAAAAAGACTAAAATAGTAAAAAAACTATTTTATTTGAAGCTAATGTTTTGACCTATCTTTGCTGGTCTTCTTCAGTGCTGAAACGAACAAAATACTAAATAATATAGAAAAATGTGGAGATAACATAATATTCAGATAAAAATTATGAACAATGTGAATAAACTTATTAAAATTATAAACAATGTGAATATAGAGTAAATAGAAATATCAAGAACAAGAAACTGTATAAACAGACCAAACGAAGTATAACTAAGTAACAAGATCCTAATCTGAAGTAAATAAATACAATACAATAACCATTATTGTAGATAGGAAAAAATTGAATGTCATAAGGAGGATAGATAATATATGTAATTATGAATATAATCCTACAGATCACAAGGAAACATTTTTCCCAATTTAAAATAATATGCAATAATAGTTACTATTTATTTACTTCAGTCATGTTTCTTAGTTATACTTTGTTTACTGTTTATATGGTTTCTTGTTCTTAATGTTTCTATGTACTCTCTATTCACACTTTATAATTTTAATAAGTTTATTTACATTGTTTATAATTTGTATCTAAATATTATGTAACTTCCACATTTTTCTATATCCTTTTTTATCTTGTTCGTCCTAGCCCTGAAGAAGAAAGTCGGATCGAAACGTTGGTTTTTAATAAAATATTTTTTTTTTTTAATATTTAAGTATTTTTATCACCACCACCTCAGACCATTTCCTTACTCCATTTACTTTTTGTTTTCTTTAATTTAGGTTAGATCTTCCCTCTCTTCTCCCCTCCTTTCACTTTTCTGTTAAGTCCCCTCCTTTCACTATTTTGTACATTCTGTCATTGTAAGTAGAGTTGGGCACATTCTTCTTAAGTTCAAATCAGTGGATGAAAGGTATACTAGCATATCTTTTCTTCCTCTTCCTCTCACAAATTATAAGATCCGATAAAACCATGTGAAACAAGTAACTGAAAGTGTACAATTTCGTAATTAGTTTTTTTCTGATATACCCGGTACGGTTAATGAACTGAAATACCCTAAAATTAGGATTTTTTAGAAGAATAATAGTCAAATAACTATAGAGATCTGGAATCCAAGATTAGAAATTTAGAAGTGAAAGAAACATGAGAAATTACTTCAGGAAATTCATTTAGTATTTCATGATATAAATGCATACAAGGGGGATAAGATAAGGTGTATAGCACTATGCTGTTGACCACAGTGTTTTTAGGCAGCCATGAATGTTACTATGTTTGACAAGAAGTAAACAATTACATGAGTGGAGAAAATCAACCATGTAAAATTTAGCTACATAAAATAAATTAGAAAAAATACCAACAATGGAAGATACTGATTAATCCTTTAATTTTTGTTGCAAATATTTAGCCTCCAATTTTATTTGTAATCCTTACATGATTTTTAGTTGTATCATTCCGTGTTACAGGATCCGAAAACTTTACATTTTTCTATTCTCAAAATGACTGCAACATTGTTAGCTTGCGGAATCGAGCCTTCGAAATGTATACTTTTCCAACAATCAAAGGTAACATCATGGTCAATCAATTAATTTGGTCTTTATTGTGTACAGTTTGTTGCAGACTACTATTGCAATAAATTAATTTTTAGGTTCCTGAACACACTTTATTAGGATGGGTGCTTGGCACTCTTACAACAATGGCCCGTCTTTACCATTTTCCACAGTATAAAGAAAAGTCTGCGGCTTTGAGAGACATTCCTTTAGGCTTATTTGTTTATCCAGTGCTACAGGCTGGAGACATTCTTCTCTATAAGTTAGTTGTATTATCGTTATGTTATATTATTACTTATTATCACTTTAGTAAGTTGTAAGTACTACCTATATTTTAACACTTTTAGCTGCATATAACCCAGTATTACACCAAGTTGAAGTGGCTCTATCCAGCCAACCGCCGTCTGTACTTCCATACTACCTTTCTATACCAAGCCATCAGAACTCATCGACCTTCCTGTATTTTTCACAGCCTACAACTTAAATATTCCATTCAATCCCGTCCCACTAGATTCCGTACTTCTGACCTCTACCCACTTCCTCACCGAACTGCTACGTTTGACAAATCCTTTATAATTCAAGCCGTCTCCATCTAGAATACCATCCCTCCCGATATCCGACATGCGCGATCAGTTTCCTCATTTAAATCTCTCCTTTTTAAGCACCTACTTCTTTCCCAACCCGACTGATCAAGAAAAGTAGATAAGAGAAATTTTTAAGTTCTCCCAGAAATGATTTTGTTTACTTATATTATTTTATTTTCATATGTTTGTATTATTTTTATCTGTATATATTTAGTGTTTTTGTTTTAATTTTCTTCCAATATTTTAATTTTAATGAGAATTGTAAATATTTAAATTAATCTTATGGCCACACAGGCATTTTCTCTGTATCTATAATTTGTCCTAAAGGGACTACAGTCCCAGGATAATAAAAATCTATTTTCATTTCATTTCATTCTTATATTAAAACTATTAACAGCCTAAAAATCCAGTCTCATTCCACAAGTGTTCCATCCATCTACACTTTCCACAAGTGTAATTATCCATACTCGACCAATAAGTATTCCATCTAAATGTTACAATCATTATTATATTTTTTATTTTTGTTTTGTGGGATAAAATCAATTTTAATTTTAAGAATTAAAGTTTATTTAGATTTTTTAAAATAATTATTTAGTAGTTTCCTTATTATTTCAGATCCACACATGTTCCTGTAGGAGATGATCAACAACAGCATTTACACTTAGCTCAACATTTGGTTCATTGTTTCAACAATAAATATGGAATCACGTTTCCTTTACCAGAGAATGTGGTTGTTTCAGGTATGGCACATCCAAAGCCACGAGCTCAGTAATAAATGTTTTAATGTAGTTTTTACTGTAATTTGTTATGTATGGATTGTTTAAAGGATCTTATTATTTTTATAGATACTGGAGCACAAGCTGGTAAGATAAGAAGTTTACGAGAACCAGAAAAGAAGATGTCTAAGTCCCATGCGGATCCTAAAAGTAGGATAGAGATATCCGATTCTCCTGATGCGATACTTACCAAGATCAAGAAAGCTGTTACAGACTTTACCTCTGAAATCACTTACGATCAAGAAAACAGACCAGGTGTTTCAAACCTTATTGATATACTCTCGTTATCAACTGGTAAAACTATTCAAGAAGTGTGTGATGAAGCATCTAATATGGATACTGCGAGGTTAGTAATTTTATATATTCCTAAACGAGTTAAACTTTTTTTTAAAAGACACCAATGGAAAACTAGATATAGTCTGCCTATTAAAAATAATATAATGCTTACAATTTTTTTTATTTTCCCCCTTTCGGTCTCTCAAAGTATTTCAAACTATAAAAGCGTTTTGCGTAAAATTTATATAACAGAAAAGTTTTAAAATTTGTGCAGTTCCTATTACATTAAAATAAAAAAAAACAAAGTTATATGGTAATGAATATCATTTGGGAAATTTTTGAAGTAGAAATATTTATGCTATGTAATGTAACAACTCTATGAAGTATAAGCATTTCTCTTTATGAAGGGTTATGGAGGTCCAGTAGAATGTGAGAAAGTACTTGTTACAAGGCCAACCGTTGTAAATGGACGTTACGGGCCAATATCACACTCAACTGCTAGGTTTTTCCCCTTAATTAATTATTTAATTAAGAGTATCCACTTTATAGAGGCTGGGTTTGTCCCAGGAGGGGGCTAATGAAAAATTACTAGTCATCAATCGGATTCGAACCTGGGACCTTGGGGTCTGGGAGTCAGTGTTCACCCACTGAGCTACCCTGCTCTACTATGAAATAAACAAACACTTAATTATTTAACCATCTATTGGAGCAACTGATCAGTTTGATGAAGTGATTTTTTTTTTGTTTTATGAAAGTGTTAATAACATCATTACAACCCATACTTTATTACAATTTACTTATTCAATCTGAACATTTCGGAATTGTATATTGCCCATCTTTAAGTCCACATAGTCAAGTTATTATTCTTGTCAAATTTCTCTTCTCTAATTAAAGATTATCATCTTACTTTTTAACTGTATCATTGTCTCCCGATTAATGCATAAATGATATTATATTTTACTAGTAGGCCCGTGCGAAAAATTCGCACAGCATATTGTTAGCAAATGTCAAATTAATAAGAAAAGAAAATAATTGAACGTATCAAAAGATAAAGAAATCAAATGTTACTTTATCGATAAATATAATTGATAAAGGAAACCAACATTAATTTAAATTATCATTTTTGTTTGGAACCAACATGTTTACAAATTTCAGTAAGCTGTATCTTTGCTAAAAATTGTCCGATTTCTATGATTTTTTTTTTCCTTTTTTAGGGAATTGAGTAATCTTTTATATAATCATGGGCAAAATCTAGGGAAAAGTGTGTAATTTTTTAGTTATTCGCAAATAAAGTTTTTTTTCTTTAATAACTTGTTTGCCTGAATTTTCAGGGTTATTGGACTATTTTGCCCTCCTGAAGGAGAAGGAAGTCTTCGAAATTGGTGGCTCTATCTTGAGATTTGGTGAAAAATTAACGATGATATGGCTTGCCGATGAAAACACCATCTCATATAATAATATAAACCCCTCTCTCGATCATAGAGGCCTCAAGTTGACGAAATGAGACATGTATTCAATTACAGTACTACAATTAACGTAAGGTTGTGTGGATGCGAACCCTATGCCTTGGGTTATCTCGAAAATAGTACTTTTTTGGGCTTAAAAACGCAGGATCCGATAATTCCGTAGGAACTATCCGGGCCTTGCTGTACGCATCAAAATCTTCAAGATCCAATTTGTCCCGTATCGATCTACAGATCTACCACCGTTCCAGTATCAAAGCCTAGCAAAATGTTTGTATTGACTTTATTTATTTTAGAAAGAAAAACAAAAGTGGAGAATACGATTCGCTAACCCTCTGTGAAATTCTGAATCTGTACCCCATTCATGGTATTTGAGCATGACAGAAGCTTACATTTGGTAAAAAACTGATTTCGAGCCTTACTGTAATAATATATTTGGAGATTTGATCCACATTTTTAAGAATCCTGTAACCTAATAATCTTGATGATCATCTGTTTAATTATTTATTTATAAAAAAAAGAGTCAAGGGTGTCCTGTTGCGTTAGGCATTCTAAGATTGGTATTCTGGTCTGTTGTGTGTATTGGTCTACAATGGTCAGATCATCACATATTTTCTGTCGAATGAAAAGAGATCACTCTTAGGATGGTATTTGGAGGAAGTTGTGATTGGAATTTTTGAGAAATAATGGAAAATAAGAGAAACGTAGGTTTTTCATAAATAACTAATAAACAGAGTAAAATTAGCAAGATTAAGTTTTTTAAGACATAGGAATATCTGAAACAGCTATGAAGAACAAATAACAAGAGTATTAATATGTTGAGGGTCTAGACGTGGGCTGTTGCAATAATTAGATAAAAATTATGTTTACATTAATTGAGATATTAAACATTTTTTGACTGGTTATTTCATCTGTCTTCGGCTTTTTAGTAAGCAATAAAACTGATCATTTTTCTAATTGTTTGTTTTGGTAAATTTGACTATATGTTTATTCTTTATATTATGTCCCTAAAATAAAATATTTATATTTCAGATTCAAGGTTTTGGTAGCTGACGTACTCATTGAAAAATTGTCTCCTATTCGCAATCGTATGCAAGAATTAATGGATTCACCAGAGTATTTAGAAAAAGTTCTGGAAACGGGAGCCAGTCAAGCTAAGGAAATAGCTGAGAAAACATGGTCAGAAGTCAGCCAAAAAATAGGTTTTCAAAATAATTTAATATCAACCAGTTTTAAAGCTTCCAATGTTGTCAAGTAAGTTTGTGGTTTTAAACCAAGTTTCCTATTTGATTGCTTAAGTGACCTTAATGTATATTTGATTACAAATATTTTAAAATTGTCTTAAAAAAATATATATATTTTGTAAATAAATCAAAAGATAATCAATATAATCAAATTCAATTACCTCTTAATTTTATCAGTTTAAAAAGAAATTACCTAATTAAAATAAACATTGAACATTACTGATTATTAAATAGTAAGACCTGAATGATTAAAAAAATATTTATTCTAAATAGTATAAAATTTCAAAGTATCTTTGAAGTTCATTGTTTATATACTAATTTGCAAACTGTTGTTGAACAAGGTAGAAACTAATACCTTGCAACTAATTGACATAATTATTATTAATATCAGAATAAAATTAATTAATTACAAAAATAAAAATAAGTATGTATTCAACACACTGTTTTCAAGTTACCTGATTACATACAAGTCAATAATATATTACATTTACTTCAAAATAAGAAATATTATGGCAATAAATATATATTCAAAGTATTTATGTTAGTTAAATTTGTGTAAAAGACAATAAAACACAAGTTCTACTTAAATTTTAAACATGTTGGGTTGAGGAAAAAATAATTTAGTTTTTTTTCATGGTTTTCAAAGCAAATTTATTTGTCTAATTTTCAAACATTAACTAATGAAATATGTGCTGTTTTAATCGATGATCTTTTGTCATTTTTCTGGTACAATCATAAGTCGGTCACTGTTGAAGTTCTGGGCAAAAAGCCGAATCAAGTGATTTTCAAAATCCTCTTTTGATCACAGCTTTACACCATTAAGAGAATTCTATAGAGACTGAAACAAATGGTTGGCAGATGGCAAGGTCTGGACTATATGGTTTATAAATCAAAACTTCCCAATTAAGCTCTCTCAGTCTTTGCCAAGTTATTAAAGATGTGTTTCTAGCATTGTCGTGATGAAAGACAATGCCTTTCCTATTGATCAATTATGGCAATTTTTCTTGAATCGCCTGCAATAATTGCATTAGCTGTTCACTGTTTAGGGTTGAATTAATGGTTTGGCCAGGTTCGAGCAGCTCATCATAAATGATTCCTTTTCAATCTCCTCAAAAACTCAGCATCACTTTCCTTGACATCAATCTGGGCTTTGCCACTGTTTGTTTGACCACAATCTTTTTTACATATTATTGTTGTATTTGATATACTTTTCATCACCGTACTCATTTGTTTAAAAATTGCTTGATTTCATTGTCTTCGAAAGTGACACTGGTGTTTGTTTAAGGACGCATCATTATAAACAACCTACAATTTTTTATGAGTCTGTGCTGAATTTTTCCCTTTCCAGGACTAAAACAGCATAAAAAAAGACAAAAATGATTTTCTGGAAACTCCATTTTTGAAGCATAACAACTTTTGACTGAGTGAATGAATGGTGCTATTTTTATATATAGAATGTTCCATGGACAGTGAGCTATCAAACACACTATAAAATGGCTTCGTTGAATAAGGTTTACATGAGATAAGAGACTTTTGAGACACCTATTGGAATAAAATGAAATCACTTTTTCCTCAATTCAAGTATTATTGATTAATTAAACTGTTTATCTTATATTTATGTTATTCCAAGCAATTGATATTTAATGTGATACAAGAGTCGTTTTGTATATATATCTGTTTACACCATTTACCTGAAAATTAGTTATTGCTACAAAATAATTAAAATTAATAAACTTTTCTTGTAATTAATGTTCATAGCAATTTTTTTAATATTGGTTTTCATAATCTTGGTTACAGGAGTTAACTACAATATGAATGCTTGGTGTTTTTGCATTTAATAAAGAAACATTTTGTAACAAATTTATCCTGCTCCGGACTGTGATGGAAAACTTTTACTAGAGCTGCCGAATGGACTTCAATAATTTTATATAAGTGTCTCAGTAGGTTACAAAATTTCACAAATGCAGGATTTATTTTCTCTTAGATATGCTACGGTGAAGTGTATAAGCCCTTGAAAAATAGTTTTTATAATAGTAGGAGTGGCATTACATAATATCATGTAATGAGGTAATGACAGAAAGAAATGAGACTTAATGTATGTGGTAAAATGTTCAGGCACCAAATATCTGAGAGATGAAGTGATCAAATTTTGCTAAATTTTTGTTCTAATTTAGGAAACAATTAAAAAAAAAACAAATATTTTAAGGATGTCTGTTTGAGGCTATATTTGATTATGATTAAATTAGTAATTCAATAAATAAATAATTAAATCAATTACTGCCTCTAGAAATCAAACAATGAAAACCATTATGAAATAATTGAAAAATATGTTTAAATTATACTTAAGTAGTTATAAGTTAAACTCTTGCGATAATTACATGATAATAGACAGCTACATAACTAAAAAAAATTATTAAAAATTGAGCCAAAATGGTTGATTATTCTCTGAAACTTATTAATATTATTGAACATCATAAAATTTTTCTCCTACTATGTATTAATGTTCTAAACAAATTGGCATCAACCCTCTCCCCACGGGCGGATCTTTGGGGAGGGCTTATGTGCTGAACCTCCCACCAAAATGGTAAAATATAACCCTGTCTTATGAAAAAAATATTTAATAATTACCTTTAAAAGTATTATAGTTCGTATAATTACATTCAATAGTACTTAAAGAATCACTTAAACTTTATTTCATATAGGTAGTTAGTTCCTTTATTTTTCTTCTTAAGTAACTATCGTTACATATTTTTTAAAAAAATCTTTCAGGCTGAAGTCCTCTCCCAAAAACTAAATCCTGGATCTGCTAGTGCCTCTCCCCCTACTGTCTTAATATATTAAGAAATAAAAGTTTAATTTGTTCATATGAACAATATAGATAAAAGAAAATTAGTTTAAAATAAATAATCAAGCATTAGGTATCCTACAAGTTGTTCCATTCTTGTAAGGTTAAGTATTATAATTAAAAACAGCTAGAACAACTGCGAGAAAATAATGGACAAAAAACCAACTGAATTTTTTTCTTAAATTATTATAAAACTTTATAATATATTTATAAAACTTTATAACAGACCTGTGCAAAAATTAATTTTAATTATTTTAAAATTCAAAATATTTACACCGTTATCACCAAGTAATTAAATTGTTTACAGTAAAAGTTTAATATCAAAAGTATTCTGTATTTTCAACTTAAAATACTTCTATAGTCATATTCTATAATATAAGTCGTAACTTAAAGTAACCCAGTGAATTTGGTAATTTATTTTACATATTTTGTTTTGTTTTTGGAAGAAAATATAGTTATAAACTATATATTATATTTCTTAAAATGTAAAATACACGTTTATATATTTAATTTGAAATACTGCCCTATCATATATATAATAATAGATGAAGATGTGATTGCCTGTTCATTGAGATATTTTATGTCTGAAGGAGAGTTAGGATGATAAAAATATTGTGGAAAAAATCTGTGATTATAACTTCATTCTTAGAAATAGAGACTGTTGAAGAACAAAAATCTTGTACTTTTATTAGTTTATTATTTTTTGTATATTTGTTAATTTTAAAAATTATTTTTTATTGATTTCCTGTTAATACAACTCTTTCATTGTATTTTTTACTATTATCGAGTACTTAAGTCGTGTATTTATTGTTGATAGGCATTGGAAAAGAAAATGGTCTAGAGATCAAATTTATTTTTAGATTTCTGATTTCATTAAAGGGAGTGCTATCAAAGAGTGTAATTTTCGTCTGATGTTTTGAGTAGTTTAAGTTGTTAAATTATGTATTAAGTTTTAATAAAAAATGAAAAAAAAAGTTTTTTATTCAATGTTTTGTTATGTATGTAATATTATCTTTTGTTATCACAATCTGTTTTACAAGAGCGACTGGACCTTACCTTTCACTGTCCAGTAGAGATGGGAAATTCGATTCTTTTAACTGAATCGATTCTCGACGATTCAATCATTATAATGAATCGATTATTATGAACGATTCTTCGATTGACTATTTTCATTTTCTTTTTTTTCTTTAAATTAAAAAAGAACTTGTTATTGATAAAAAAAACTGTAACAAACATGCTTAAACCTTATGGTTGTTCAGGCATAAACATTTTCTTTTAACTTATTGAAATTAAAAGCTCCAAATATATACAAATAAAAAGCTATGAATCTTATAAATAGGAAGGAAGTTTAAATTGTTCAGAAAAAGCTTTTTTTTAACTATTTGGCCCGTGCGAATATTTCACAAAAAAATGTTTAGTGAAGAAATAGCAAAAAAATATGGAAATAAGTAGATCCTATGTATTATGCAAGGAAGGAATTAATATTTTTTCCTTGGTCGATTACAATATTAGATTTAACTTAATAAACCAAAAGGACCTATTTCTAACTTACTGGAAAGATAATAAATCTAATAAACACAAAATAATGCCCCCCATCATGGGATTTTCTAAATTATTAAAAAAAATAAAATGTAAGAACAAACAGATCCCTTGAAGAAATAATAAAGTTAATATATCAGACAGAAAAAAAAGTCTAGTAGACTATTCTACTCCTAAATACAATATCTTTAAAGAGGAAGAAATTATTAAGTATACTAAAACTAATGGACTGTATCTTTGTTAAAAATTGTCCGATTTTTTTTTTAATTTTGTAGGTAATTTAGTAATCTTTCTAATTATCATGGGTACAATCAAGAAAAAAATTGCATACTTTTTGAGTTATTCGCAAATAAAGTTTCTTTTCCTCCATAACTTTTTTTACAGAAATTTCGGAGGCATAGGACTATTTTTCGCATGTAAAGGAGAAGAATATCTTCAAAATGAATGGTTAATCATTGGATTTGATGAAGAATTGATGACGTTATGACGTATCAACAAAAAAACATCTTTTAGAAATAATATATAGGATATTTCAATCTACTTATATACAACTAATTAATAAGAAAATAAGAACAATTTTGAGTTATTTAACTTTTTGAGCAATTCGCAAATAAAGTTTCTTTTCCTCCATAACTTTTTTTCCAGAAATTTCGGGTGGAAAGGACTATTTTTCGCATGTGAAGGATATATTCGAAATGAGTGGTCAATCATTGGATTCGATGAAGAATTGACGAAGTTATGGCATAACGACAAAAAAACACCTTTTAGAAATAATTATAGGATTTTACACATTACATTTTGGTAAGTGTATATAAATTGTAAAAGAAATGAAATATAATTTTAGGACTGATGACCCAATAGAACAAATTATAAATACAAAATAAATTAAAACATGACAGTATGGCCATACATTAAATTAAATATTTATATAATAATAAGTAATTAAAAATAAAGTACAAGAGAGAAAAAAACTGTATATATATATAAATAAAACAAACATAAAGAAATAATAAACAAAATACTAATGTCAATAAGCTTAGGTTATAAATGTCTGAATATGAAATGCTTGTGGAAGACTAGATTCGGAAATTAAACATTCCTTGTGAATTGGTTGGTTGGTTGTTGTAGAGAATGTGTAAAACCTGCACAGAAATAAATAAATCTCACATAGTTGCAATGGTTTTCATATAAATAGTAGTTGCTTAAGGCAATTTCTAGACAAGGATTGGTGTATTGAGATAGACAAGGAGTCCTAAAAGTCGTAGAATGAATGAGGGAGGATTTTCCTTAGGAAGTGGTTTTATAAGAGATGATAGATCTATAGATTGGAATCTGGGAATCTCCTAGAAAACCTAGAATGGATATGCAAGTCTGCTTGCATAGAGATGGCAGCCCCATCAGCAGAAGAGTCTATAGAAAAATAATGGAAAGTCCCATTATCTGAAATATCAATTATCGTGAAACCATGAAAACAAAAACAGGAGGTCAAGACTTGTAACTGGGTTTTAGCTCCATGAAATAATATAAAAATACTATAATTACGACAATAATTTTGTCTTCCCTTTTCTTTAATTTAAAAATCGGTGCAGTGAGACTTCTAAAATAACCATATGTAGCTTATAACATAACCAGATTCCTATTTCTTTCCAAATCTCTTGAATTATATTATTTTCTCTTTCTTTCTACAGTATTAATTTTTTAAATAATTTTCTTTTTATTTCCTTCAATCGATGATATAAAAATTTATTCTTTTCATCAGCTGGTATATGGGCATTTGGACCAAGCTCTTTAGAATACACTTTTCTCTAGATTGGTCCAAGGTGTTCATTACATCTGAATTCCATTTTAGCTAGTAGGTTTCATTTTATACCAGTTGCCACAGTTTTATTGTAGTTGAAATGCGGTTGTGCCAATTTTTGTGTAAAATTTTCTGGTGTGTCAAAATAATGTGCTGTAATGAAAGTCAAGAACCAGTGTTCCTAGACCACATCATTTACAGATTTTTTTGTAGGTTTTAAGTTTTTAAAACTTAAACAAAATTAACAATAAAACAAATCTATAGTACCTCCTTTTGGTTAAGCAATACCCATCATCTCAGCTGTCTTCTATTACCATTGATCTACACTATATCATGTCTTTCCTTAAAAAAATGAAAAATAATGATATGAAATGCCATCTTGCATTTTTTAAGTATTTCCTCAGTGTCTTTCTTGAATGTTTGTCAAAACTCTCCCTTCGTACATTCTTAGATGGTTAAGCCCAGGGATTGATAAAGTTTTGATGGTCCAATCTGGATTCCATCATTATTATTTTATAATAATCCATCTCATTCTTAGAGTGATTTTTTTTTTAATTCTTACACATTTAGTTATACTGAAGATGCTCAATAAGATGCTTCCTTGATTTTTTCTTTTTTTCTTTTAGTCAGCCCAAGACTCCCCACTGAAATAATCAGCCAGCTCTTGGAGGAAAGTGCTATTGTTGGTTGAGGGGGTATTTCTTCTGGTATTTATTGGATCTATTGCATTTTAAAATAATGTGCAATGGGTCATCGATGGAGTTACATGTCATACTTACTTGATTATGTAACTCCTTCTAATACATGAAGAACTGGGTATTTCTCAATCTCATGGATTGATTCTGTCTTGGTTGATAAACTTGAAAACAATTTAATTGATATCCAAATGAATATAAAAATATTTTTTATCTAATCCATTTCCATGATTCACATGTTTTATTTTATTTTACTTCCTCACTACAAAAGTTAAGGGAGCTTTTTATTCATCTTGGAGGTTGAAAAACAATCCCTTTTCATTAATGAAAATTGTTAATTAGTATTTTATATCTACTTACCATTTATTAAAATGTTTATTGAAAGGAATAAGTACAGAATCATTGTCTGTGTCTGGTTAAGAGGGTTGTTCGAAGTTTCGAATGTGGTTAAATTCATACCACCATGGCGGAGAAAATCAAACTGCTCTTTAAAAAGATGTCCTTCAGTGAAACTTTAACTGTGTTCTTTTACATCCATAGGCTTCTTTTATACAACCAAGATCTCGTTTGAGATCGATTTATTTGGTTGTAGATAACATTCAATTTTAATTGTGAGTAAGGAGGTTAAAATATCTATCTAGACAAGCGATTTTGTTCTATTTTAAGAAATTAGTATTGTATTCCAAGTTAAAACGTTTTAGGGATTTAATTTTTCATCAGAAAGTTCGTGTTCGAAACAACTTAAAGGTGTAGGAATTTGTCTAAAAATGTACGGGTAAAAGAATGGGTATCTAGAACTCTTAAAATGACCTCTTTATGCATTTTAAGTTTGCGTATTTATATAACAGTGTTAAGAAATGTCAATATTCTAAATTAAAAATTATTTTTTATTAAACTTTCGATCTTCTACTGGCATAGTAATCATCCGCGATACCGACCTCACACAGACCATCATATTATTAACATCCGTCTGAAACATCGTGATTGGCTTCATCTTGCCGTGAGCTACAAGTTTTTTTTTTAGTTTTAATTAATTAAAAAGTAATTTTTAACATTAAACATTCATTTAATATTAAAAATAAATTAAAAGGTTACCAATTTCAAGCTCGAACAATGCCAAACTTCATACATAAAACGATTCATCCATTTCCAGATTTTTCATTAAACGAATAGGATTCGTTTTAAAATGAATAAGATTGTTATCAAAGGAATAGGTATTACTCCATGAATCGTTGCGTTGTTCGATGAACTATTTTTTTTTTAACAGTTCATTTACGTTTTTTAGAAGTAGCAGAAACCCTCACCTCTACCCAAGGGTACCCTTCACTCCCAAGACCGATGGGGCATAAACCTTCCCCCACCCCTCCCAAGATATTTTATTCCTCACTTTCTCTTAAAAAACAGCACAAACGAAATTCGAAATTAAATATTCATAGATTATATACAATTACACACTCTGTGGTCTATTCCATGCTTCCACTTGTATTTTTATTTGAAACTTTTCATTTTGAAAATTCATCACCCCGTCAAAATGTGCTCCCCTCATAAATTTTGATGGCGCAACTACTGGGCATCCCTGAGGTGGCCTACAAAAATATTGAGCCGTTCGGCGTGACCTCCACTCCCAACATGTCAAATTAACTGTGTCTTAAAGTAATTTGAACAAATGGGCTACTGCGAAATATAATACATAATTAAAGTATATTTTACCTAAGCACTACCATCAATAGTCAACTTATAAATTAGTTCCTTTATACCCAAGTGGCTTCTATTTTTTCCCATTCCATCCTCAATCCTATCCAAGACTAGGTAGTTTACCATCCTAAAGAAATTGTGTTAGGTTCTGTGCTACATTTGTTGAGAGCTTCTGTCGTAAAAAAGTTGTGGGGCCGGCGAATACAAAAAGATTTTCACTTTAATTT